GGATGTTTGTGTTCCAGTCATCGTTAGCCCATCACTGTTCTGACTGGGGTAGAGCCCTGCAGCCTTCTTGCCTGGCGAGTTACCAAGCGCTGAAGGGATCTCTGAGTTATATGACTTGTGAAATATGAGTAATGAATTATAGATGATACTGTGGGTTATTAGGAGGTGTAGCTAGGGACGGATTGAGGTTTCTCACCGTGTTGGAGAGCTTCTGCATGGCAGCCCAGGCCTCTGGGGTCAGCTGCTCATCCATGTCCCTCTCCCACGTCATCTGTGGTGGACACAAAGCAAAGACATTAATCATATGTTCAAAAAACTAAACCCATATTCAATCAAAAGCGTTGTCCGGCCCACTTCCTTCATGGGGCAACATTTACATTTAAATTTTCTGGCATATCGGCACTGCTGTGTGCTACAAGAGAGGTTGAATTAATGATTAAATTGATGATTGATTAATTGATTGATTGACTTTGCATTGTTGTCTAGTTGAGGTTATATTCCATGTTCTATAGACTGACGTGAGGAAACCGGCCGCCACTGTTTTGGCTGTTCAACACGCTTCAATCAATATGGACATCTGAACACACTTGATTAAGACAAAACAACAGTCTTTGTTGCACCACTGTGAAAATGTATCATCTCATCAATTAAATTTACTGCATTATGTTAAAAAGGCATTAAAGTCAATTGATACTGGTATATTTTTGCAATTACAACCGCTTTACAATGAGTAAAAGGCAAGTGATGAGAGTTAGGGAGAGATTTAATTAGATGGGGGATACCGCTCCTCACCCCCCTACCCCCCTACCCCTGCAAATCGCACAGAAATATACACTGTTCATTTCATTGGCCACTTTCCTGTGTCCACACTCTCCCTGTTGCTGAGGCAACAGCCACCATCTTACTTTTACCATGACCAACCAGCAGACATCAACAGATGGAATCCAGAACATCAAACTCACACAAAAAGACTCCATCTTATCTATCTCTAGGCCAACATTCAAAAGCCCCACCCCCCCACCTAATATCATACATGGCTGGCTGCTGCTACACTGTAACGCTCAGACTACAATCACATATTGATAGAGGATGAGGTGACTAAGTGCTATGAGCACCTGGAAAAGGGCAATGTAAAGGTTAGGCGTTAAATGTGGCATTAATTGTACCATCTTAATTACTTCCTATGAGATTCCGATCATTATCATACAAATACAGAATATAAATATACAGTGCCTTCAGAATGTATTCACACCCCTTGACTTTTTCCACATTTTGCTGTGTTACAGCCTGAATTTAAAAAAAATTCTACTGAGATTTTGTGACACTGGCCTACACACAATACCCCATAATGTCAAAGTGGAATTATGTTTTTAGAAATGTTCACAAATTAATAAAAAATGAAAAGCATAAATGTTTTGAGTCAATAAGTATTAAGTAAGAAGAAGTAAGTAAGAAGGGCACCTATTGGTAGATGGGTAAAAATAAAATAAAAAGCAGACGTTGAATATCCCTTTGAGTATGGTGAAGTTATTAAATACACTTTGGATGGTGTATCAATACACCCAGTCACTAAAAAGATACAGGCGTCCTTCCTAACTCAGTTGCCGAAGAGGAAGGAAACCGCTCAAGGATTTCACCATGAGGCCAATGGTGACATCAAAACAGTTACAGAGTGTCATCAAAACAGTTACAGGGTTCAATTCTTGGGCCGACCCTTTTCTCTGTGTATATCAATGACGTCGCTCTTGCTGCTGGTGACTCTCAGATCCACCTCTACGCAGACGACACTATTTTGTATACATCTGGCCCTTCATTGGACACTGTGTTAACAAACCTCCAAACGAGCTTCAATTCCATACAACACTCCTTCAGTAGCCTCCAACTGCTCTTAAACACTAGTAAAACTAAATGCATGCTCTTCAACCGAACGCTGCTTGCACCCGCCCACCCGACTAGAATCACTACTCTCGACGGGTCTGACCTAGAGTATGTGGACAACTACAAATATCTAGGTGTCTGGTTAGACTGTAAACTCTCCTTCCAGACTCACATTAAGAATCTCCAATCCAAAGTTAAATCTAGAATCGGTTTCCTATTTCGCAACAAAGCCTCCTTCACTCATGCTGCCAAACATGCCCTCGTAAAACTGACTATCCTACCGATCCTTGACTTCGGCGATGTCATTTACAAAATAGCCTCCAACACTCTACTCAGCAAATTGGATGTAGTCTATCACAGTGCCATCCGTTTTGTCTCCAAAGCCCCATATAATACCCACCACTGTGACCTGTACGCTCTTGTTGGCTGGTCCTCACTACATATTCGTCGCCAAACCCACTGGCTCCAGGCCATCTATAAATCACTGCTAGGCAAATCCCCGCCTTATCTTAGCTCATTGGTCACCATAGCAACACCCACCCGTAGTCTGCGCTCCAGCGGGTATATCTCACTGGTCATCCCCAAAGCCAACACCTCCTTTGGCCGCAATTCCTTCCAGTTCTCTGCTGCCAATGACTGGAACAAATTGCAAAAATCTCTGAAGCTGGAGACACTTATCTCCCTCACTAACTTTAAGCATCAGTTGTCAGAGCACCTTACCGATCACTGCACCTGTACACAGCCCATCTGAAATTAGCCCGTCCAACTACCTCATCCCTATATTGTTATTTATTTTGCTCATTTGTACCCCAGTATCTCTATTTGCACATCATCTCTTGCACATCTATCATTCCAGTGTTAATACTAATTGTAATTATTTTGCACTATAGCCTATTTTATTGCCTTACCTCCATAACTTGCTAAATTTGCACACTGTATATTATATGTATTTCTGTTGTATTTTTTACTTTGTTTTGTTTTACCCCATATGTAACTCTGTGTTGTTGTTTTTATCGCACTGCTTTGCTTTATCTTGGCCAGGTCGCAGTTGTAAATGAGAACTTGTTCTCAACTGGTTTACCTGGTTAAATAAAGGTGAAATAAAAATAAAAATAAAAAGTAATGGCTGTGATAGGAGAAAACTGAGGATGGATCAACAACATTGTAGTTACTCCACAATACTAACCTAAATGACAGAGTGAAAAGAAGGAAGCCTGTAAATAATAAAAATATTCCAAAACATGCATCCTGTTTGCAATAAGGCACTAAAGTAAAACTGCAAGAAATGTTGCAAAGAAATTAACTTTATGTCCTGAATACAAAGCGTTATGTTTGGGGCAAAACATGCATCCTGTTTGCAAAAAGGCACTAAAGTAAAACTGCAAGAAATGTTGCAAAGAAATTAACTTTATGTCCTGAATACAAAGCGTTATGTTTGGGGCAAATCCAACACATCACTGAGTACCACTCTTCATATTTTCAAGCATAGTGGTGGCTGCATCATGTTATGGGTATGCTTGTCATCGGCAAGGACTAGGGATTTCTGGGGGATAAAAATAAACGGAATGGAGCTAAATACAGGCAAAATCCTAGAGGAAAACCTGGATCAGTCTGCTTTCCAACAGACACTGGGAGACAAATTCACCTTTCAGCAGGAGAATAACCTAAAACACAAGGCCAAATCTACACTGGAGCTGCTTACCAAGACGACACTGAATGTTTCTGAGTGGCCGAGTTACAGTTTTGACTTAAATCGGCCTGAAAATCTATGGCAATTCTTGAAAATGACTGTCTAGCAATGATCAACAACTAACTTGACAGAGCTTGAAGAATTTAAAAAAGAATTGTTGTGCAAATATTGTACAATCCAGGTGTGCAAAGCTCTTAGAGACCTTCCCAGAAAGACTCACAGCTGTAATCGTTGCCAAAGGTGATTCTCACATTTATTGACTCAGGGGTGTGAATACTTATGTAAATTAGATATTTCTGTATTTCATTTTCAATACATTTGCAAACATTTCTAAAAACATGTTTTCACTTTGTCATTATGGGCTATTGTGTGTAGATGGGGTGCAATTTTTTAAAATATTTAATCCATTCTGAATTCTGGCAGTAACACAACAAAATGTGTAATATGTCAAGAGGCATGAATACTTTCTGAAGTCACTGTAAATATTGAATACTTTATATGCTGAATTTAAATATATAAAGTCAGATGTAGATTAAAAACATACTCGTTATCACATCTAGCAGATGTCCAAGTTCTTTTTTGGGCCTACTTTTTCATATCAGAAAATTTCTGTTTTCTTTGCAAAATGTTTGTCCGTTTTAGTGACCCCTCTCCCAGGCTGGTGTGTATAACGTGAGAGGAAAGAGGAGAAAACTCTCAGGTTTGGTCACACTCCACAGAGCGTCAATCCCCATAAATTAGCATAGTAAAAGTATTACTGATTTGACGTGATTCACCCCCCACCCCCAACCCTTTTTATACATAAAAAAAATGACCATTCCTACACTATGTGCATGACAGACGGATTTACACTTCAAATACCTTTGTCGTTCTCAGAGACAAATCCCAAATTCACCACTTTGAAGTGAGAAGCTCTGCCGAACATGAATAATTTAACAAATATATCAGGTACACCCACTAATGAGAAGGAATCTCTTCCTAAACCTCAGATACTGTAGCTACAGTGCATAACAACAAATCAACAATGAAGGACTGATCAGTGAGTTCAGTAGAAAATTATAAAAAATAAACAAAATTGCTGATGAAATATTCAAAAATGTTATCTTAGTTTTTTTTTTTTTTTTTTCGCAATGGATCACTACTGATTCTCTGAAACTATCCCTTAGTGTCCAATAGGAGAGAGGCCTACCTATCCCCCTTGCCCAGAGATGTACAAGTAGTGGTAAATAAGTTGGGGTAAAGCTGAACACAAAATTACAGATGGTGAGTGAAGTAAACACTAACGCAAACAATAATAACGTAATAGGTACTATTTACCAAATACAAAGGTGAGTAAATGGTATTCATGCAACTCCCTGCCCTTTCCCTTTAAATAAGTCCAGATGTCAGAAGAGGTTAATGGAAAAAAAAGGCCCTTAAACAGCAGGTAGAATCAAAAAAATACAAAGGCAGATGCACTCACCTCCTGGGCTTGAGCTTTCTGCTTCATCTTCTCCTGGCTCCTGGTCATGTTCATGTCCATCCCAGCGGTGGGTCCAGGACTCAGGCCCAGGGAGGGGGCAGAGCCCACTGACCCGTCAGAGAGAACCGGGTCGGTGCTGGACAGAGAGTCTGTCCTCAGCAAGGAGTCCGAGGGAGACATAGAGGGGATAGGCAGCTTGATCTGAGAGATGTAAAGAGGGGATGGAGGAGAGTGAGGGGTGGAGGGAAAACAGGAAAAGAGCCAGATGGAGAGAAGGAGGAATGAGGGTATTAGGGGAATGGCGAGGGAAAAAGAAAGGGATAGTTGAAGTGAGGGGTATAGGGATAGAGGAAGAGAAAATGCAGAGAGAAAGAGAGTTATTGGGGTAAGAGAGGAAATAACACAACTGATTATTTACAGTGCCTTCAGAAAGGATTCACACCCCTTGACTTCTTCAAAATGTTGTTGTGTTACAGACTGAATTTAAAATTGATTAAATTGAGATTTTGTGTCACTGGCCTACACACAATACCCCATAATGTCAAAGTGGAATTCTGTTTTTTACATATTAATAAAAAATGAAAAGCTGAAATGTCTTGAGTCAATAAATATTCAACCCCTTTGTTATGACAAGCCTAAATAAGTGTTTAACAAGTCACACAAGTCACATAATAAGTTGCATGGACACAACACATCACTGAGTACCACTCTTCATATTTTCAAGTATGGTGGTGGCTGCATCATGTTATGGGTATGTTTGTCATCGGCAAGGACTAGGAGTTTTTTGGGGGATAAAAAGAAACGGAATACAGCTAAGCACAGAGGAAAACCTGGTTCAGTCTGCTTTCCAACAGACATTGGGAGACAAATCCACCTTTCAGCAGGACAATAACCTAAAACACAAAGCCAAATATACACTGGAGTTGCTTACCATTGAAAATCTATGGGGCGGATTGTAGAGGTCTTGAAAAAGAAGGGTCAACACTGCAAATATTGACTCTTTGCATAAACTAAATGTAATTGCCAAATAAAAGCCTTTGACACTTATGGAATGCTTGTAATTATACTTCAGTATACCATAGTAACATCTGACAAAAATATCTCATAACACTGAAGCAGCGAACTTTGTGAAGACCAATACTTGTGTCATTCTCAAAACTTTTGACCACGACTGGTGTTTTTAACCAAGACGACACTGAATGTTTCTGAGTGGCCGAGTTACACTTTTGACTTAAATCGGCTTGAAAGTCTATGGCAAGACTTGAAAATGGCTGTCTAGCAATGATCAACAACTAACTTGACAGAGCTTGAAGAATTCACCAACAAAAAATATATGCACATATTGTACAATCCAGGTGTGCAAAGCTCTTAGAGACATTCCCAGAAAGACTCACAGCTTTAATCGTTGCCAAAGGTGATTCTAACGTATTGACTCAGGGGTGTGAATACTTATGTAAATTAGATATGTCTGTATTTCATTTTCAATTCATTTGCTAAGATTTCTAAAAACATGTTTTCACTTTGTCATTATGGGGTATTGTGTGTAGATTGTTGAGAAAAAAATAATATTTAATCCATTTTGAATTCAAGCTGCAACACAACTAAATGTGGAATAGGTCAAGTGGTATGAATACTTTTTGAAGGCACTGTAAGCTTTACGGAGTCCATACAACTCGCTATCTAAAAATGATATCACTCTGCTCATGTCTCCCTACCTTAATAGGCTTGAAAAGTTTCTGGTGCTGTGGATGCTGTGGTTGTTGTTGATGAAGGTGTTGTAGGTGCTGCTGCTGTTGCTGCTGTTGATGTTGAGGTTGTAGATTCTGCTGCTGTTGGAGGTGATGGTGTTGGTGCTGCTGTTGTTGAAAGTGCTGTTGTTGGTGGAACTGCTGTTGTTGTTGCTGATATTGGAGGTCGGGTACTTTGTCTCGGTGCATCTCTATCATCCCTTCCTCCTTCCTGCCACGCCCCCTACCCCGCCCACGACCCCTGCGGGTCTCCCCGCCTACATTTCCCATCAGCCCCCTACAGTAGGGCGGCTCCGGGAGCGGGCGAATGCGAGGGCGCCCTCGGGGCCGAGGCGGCCCCTCACGTTTGGGTTTGGTCGGTTTCCTGCCCCTCTTCTTGGGCCCGTCGTGGGGTAGGAGCTGGGGAGGGGGGCCAAGGGAGGGGTAGCCGGACGGGTGGCAGAAGTCCAGGTCGCCCATCAGAGGGCTGAGGGAGCCCACCCCAGAGGCCCCTCCTCCAGCCTTCCTGCAGCTGGACACCAGGTCGGGGAGGAGGTCAGGGAGCCGCCGGCTGTTCAGGCGGATGTCAGCGGGAACATCAGCCTTGTCCTCGTCGTCCTCGAACTCGTACTCCTGGGCGTAGTTCTTCTTGGCCTGCGGCTGCGGGTCGCGGCGCTGCTTCAGCAGGTGGAAGGAGCTGGTCTTCAGCAGCTTCTTGGGTCGGGAGGAGCAGAAGATGGGCGACGTCAGCCCGGCCAGACCGGAACCTCCGCCCACGCCTGTACCTCCAATCATCTTGTTGGCGGAGCCATCCCCAGGAACTCCCCCTGGACCCCCCAAGCCAAGGCCCGGGGTCTGGGACTGGATGAGGCCGAGCTGCTCTGTGTTCACAGTGGAGGGGAGCTCGTGGGTTTTCAGGGAGTCCAGGTCCAGATGCATGGTGCTGTTTTCTGTTTCCGTGAGGCCGTGGCAGTACCCATACCCATGGTCGCCATGGTGACCCATCATGTCATAGCCACCTCCTCCATCACTGGTCTTGACGTCCTCCATGCTGTCTGGTCCCTGTCCACGTGCCTCAGACATACCTTCCTGCACCCTTTGGCCTGCCCCGGGACCCCCGGCGCAGCTTGACTTGGAGTAGTCGTCAGAGCAGAACATATCCTCCATGCCGGGGAAGAAGGAGCGATCCTCATCCTGTAAGAGGGAGTCTGGGAAACAGATGGAGGTCAGAGGCACAAACCTTTGCTGCTGCTGCTGGCCTTGGTTCTGGCCCGCTTTCCCCACGGGGCTCACGGTGTCAAACTGGTGCTCTTTGAGCTGGTCCAACTGGGATTGGCAGAGCTGGGGCTCCTGGTCCCTCTGATGGGGCGGAGGCTGCTGCTGCTGCGGCCCTGCGTTGGTCGCCAGGTGGTGGCAGTGGGGGTGGGCATGGGTGTGCGGGAGGGGGTGGTGCGGGTGGGTCTGCTGTTGGTGATGGACGTGGGGGTGGTGTGGGTTGAGGTGGTGCAGGTGGGAGGGCGTGGTTATGCCCAGATCTGGCTCGGAGAGGAAGTCGTGAAGCTTGGAGGCAGTTTGTTGGGAGTGGTGATGAGATGGCAGCCTGTGCTGCTGCTGTTGTTGTTGTCTGTGTCCGTCACTACTGCCCCCATCGCCTCCCCCTACCCCACTTCTCTCCACGGCCCCTCCACTGTCTCTGCTGTTGGCCCGAGACAGGGTGCGCTCCAGCATGTCTAGCGGAGATACCGAGTTCTGGCTGGCTTGGCTCTGGCTGTAGTGGGCCTCCATAGCCTGGGACTGGAGTTGGAGCTGCAGCTGGGATTGAGAATGGGGCTGGGGATCCACCCCCGCTTGTCCCCCAGGCTCTGCCTCTCCACCTGCCCCCATCATGGCCTGCTGACTCATGGAGTGCTGCTGCTGCTGAGAAGCAGCTTGCTGGGTGTCCATCTTGTTGCGGGTAGTGTGGGACAGTACAGACTGGAGCATGTGGGCAGAGGGAGGCTGCTGGGGCTGATTTGGGGGGGAGTCCATGAGGGAAAGGGAGGACTGGGACTGTCGGGGCTGCTGCTGCAGTTCGGGTGTCTTCCGCAGGTATGGCAGCTCGGACGGGTCGGGAGGCTTTTTGAGCTCCATGTGAGGGTGGGCGTGGGAGTGGGGGTGGGCGTGCTGGGTGTGTTGGGGGTGTGAGGGGGCCTGCGAGGGATGGTGGGGGTGCTGGGAGTGAGGGTGTTGGGAGTAAGGGTCGCCCCTGCCGTAGTGCACCACTGAGCCGAGGGAGTCGTGTTGGTGCGGATAGGGGACGTGAGGGTTGGGGTGTGAGAGGGAGTCTGCCCCCCCTCTTCCTCCGCTGGCCCCTGCTCCAGACAGCCCTCGTTCGTTCTTGGCCTGCTGCTGCTGTTTCTTCAGAGACATCTCCAACTGGCTCTCCAGGCCACCTCCGCTGACGTTACCTGCAGTACCGGGGCCCGTGCTGTTGGTGGCGCTGTTGGTGCGGATTACGCTCTGGAGGTGGTAGCGCTCCTCAGAGGCCTTGTTCAGGTCGTAGGCCAGACCTTTGACCCCATCCCTGGCCTGAGGGATGGACTGGGGCGGCTGCTGCTGGGAGTGGTGCTGGGACGGGTGTGGCGCAGGGCTCTGGGCATGCAGCAAGTGCTGGATCAGGAAGTCATCGTCATCGTCATCCTCCTCGTCTTGAGAGCGCTCCACTCCCAGCATGTCAGTGTCTGGCTTGGGTTTGGGGGGCGTGGGGTGGTAGGACTGAGGCTGGGGGCCTCGGGTGTCGGGGTAACCCTGCGGAGAGGAGAGGAAGGCAGGGGAGAGGACGGAGGAGAGGTATTTGTTACCCCCGGCTCCCCCGGGGGACTGGGCAGGGCGGGCGGGAGCAGGAGAGTGCAGCCCAGGTCGAATGATGCCAGAGTTGCTGGAGGGAGAAGGGCTGGAGTCAGGGAGGTTGTATGAGCTGCCTCCTCCAGCTCCACTGCTACCACTTGATCCTGCACCCCCACCTCCTGATCCACCTCCACCAACCCCGGACCCTGCCCCGCTGCCGGCTGACCCTCCACCCCCTCCAGACCCCAGGAGGGCAGGGGAGTGCCTTGGGCCACCATACCCCAACGAAGGACTGCCCGCTCCCCCAAGGGAGGTAGGCAGCGAGCCGTATCCTGAGTCCGTCCCGTAGACCACCTCGGCAGAGAAGGAGCGGCCTCCTGGCCCTAGTCCTCCATACCCTTTCCCAGAACCCCCAGTACCAGAGGTCAGGTCCTGGGCCTGGGGGGAGCTGAAGCCCCCATAGGGCTGGTGGGAGGGGAGGTGTGAGGGAGGGGGCTGGCTGGGGGAGTAGGACTGCTGCTGGGGAGGTGTCTGTCCAGGGAGGCCTGCAGTGGGCTTGACGGGGGCCACAGGGGAGCCATATGCTGACAGGCAGGGTTTAGGAGGAGGCTGCTGGGCCGGGGCGGAGGAGACTGGAGGGGGAGGTGGGGGTGCAGACTGAGTTGGGGGCTGCTGTCTAGAGGGGGCCGACGAGGAGCTGGAGGAAGGGTTGGAGTTTGAGGAGGACGAGGAGGTGGAGGAGGCTGAGGGCGGGGTGTGGGGGGTTCGGGATGACGAGGAGCCCGAGGAAGAGTAGCCACTACTGGAGCTGGAGTTCTTAGCCCCCTTTCCTAGACCTCCACCTGACGAGGAGGCGGCTGAGGAGGTGTACGAGGTCTGTATGATGGGGCGGTACACTTGATCTGACCGGGGGGAGGGTTTGGGATCTGCTGAAGGGCTCTGCTCCCCCAGCGGGCTGCAGGACACCCCTCCATGCCGGTGGTGGGAGATCTGCTGATACCCCGATGCCCCACAGCTGAGGTAGTGCTGCAGGGGGTGGGGGGCTGAGGAGGAGAGCTGCGACTGAGCCGGAGAGGAGCGCTGATAGTGCTTGATCACGCTGTCCTGCCGGGGTATGGCCCTCTCCTGGGGTGGCTGGGGTGGCGGCGGGGCGGGTGCCGATGAGAACACAGAGGCGTTGTACAACTGGGAGGACTGGTCCTGGAGCTGGGAGGACAGCAGGTTAAACTGGGGAGGGGGTAGGTGGCGGCCTGATGAGGAGGAGGTTGTTTGTGGTGGGCCTGTGGGGTCCTGCGACCCACGGTAGGCGGCGCCCTGTGAGGAGAGTAAACGGTCGAAGCCCAGGCTGGACTGGGAGGGCGTCTTGATGTGCAGCAGGGGGTCGTGGGAGGACAGGAGGCCGTTGGACGTGGGGCTGAAGGTGGGGGAGTCCTGCAGGGAGAGCGAGGCGCCAGGGAAGGACCGCCCAGAGAAGGAGGCTGGGTGCTGGTAGGCCGAGAGGGAGGAGGAGGGGAAGGAGCCAGACCCGATGAAGAGCTCTGGCTGAGTGTGCATCGCTATGGGAAATGGAGATAGAGAGAAAGACAAGTAACAGAGATTATTAGAAATGTGCTGCTGTCTTTCATAACACTTAGAAAATGATGAACACACTCAGTTGTACTTGAACATGACTCATGACTGGCTCCTGCACTCACCAGTCTGCCAGGAGGGTGTTCGGAACTGGGAGAGGAGGGAGGAGGCTGAGGGGGGCGGCTGCCGACCCTGGGACTCCAGTGCTGAAATCAGGTTCATGACAGACGGGTCTGGACCAGAGGGACTGGCATGGTGTAGCCCAGTATCAAACAGCCCAGATAACCCTAGAGGACATAGACACAAAAGCATTTACTCAACCACGCACATTTTTCTGTTTACAGTGACTCAAATAAACAAAAGTCTAATCTAAACTAAAAAAACTTTGATAGAGAGAAAAATGCTCCCTGACTGTGTGTATAGGATAGGACAATATTGTACTGTAATAACAGGTATACTAAAATTCTATATTGACAACCTTTTGGAATCATGCAGAGACCTCAATTTCACATTTGAATCAAAGTTTATATTAGCCCGGCCCCTTACCTAGACTCCTCCCAGCCCCCCATGCCCCGCCCTGTCCAGAGCTGCCAGGATGGTGATTGGTTGCGTAGCCCTGCAGAGGGTGGGGTGTGCCATAAGCCTGGCGATGGAGCAGCTCTGAGTCCGGATGGGAAGACCTAGAACTTCCATACACCAGGCTGAGGAAAGAAGGGAGGAAGGGGAGCTAAATTAATCATTCATTAATGAAAAGTTTCATTATACTTTTATATCGGGGTTATCTAAATCCTGGTATCGAGATCTGCAGTACAGCTGTTTTTCTTTTCTCTTTGGTAGATAATTGATTGATTAATGTAGCCTAATTGATTGGCCAGAGAGTCCACTCACTTAGTGTCTCAGGTCTGAATCAGTCTCTGATTATAGGGTGAATGTATGTAATGTTGTCTCAGGCAGCATTGACTTTATATTTATTTTCAATCATCAAATAGCCCTTCAATCAATCAATTATGAAAACCAGAAGTGCTGCAGACTTGATACATGCGAATTGGGATACTCATGTTGTATACCAGGGGTATTCAAATCTTACTAGGAGAAGAACAAAAAAAGCAGTAAAACTGACTGAGGTCAAGATTTGAATTTGAGGGTTGTATACGAATAGTGAGGCAAGAGAAGCATTGTGTGTACAGGATATTACTGATAACCCATCATTGTCAATTAGGCCTAGATACGGCTATTTTCTTGATTTTCAATAACATCCTATAATCAAATAACAAATAAATAGTTCATTTCTCAACCAAAACAACTGTAAACATCCAACAAAATGGTGATGGCATATGGCAAATGGATAAATGTTTAAAGTGTCCTTCCATTAGTGGTAGTGAGAGGGAATCAGCAACTGCAAGGCTCTCTGCACCGACTTCAGACAAAATCCTGTTCTAACCACAAAGCCTCAACAACAACAATGCATTCTGGTCCCGGCTGACAGTGTCTCTCAGGCTTTGGTGATGGATTACCTTTCTAATCTACCTATACTCTCTTGTAGAGTTGTTTACATAGGCATACTCCATACTGTATAAGGGCAATATCGTCCTTTCCAGCCCACACCATATAAAATCTGAGCCAGTCTTACACTTTACACAGGGTAACCTAACACTCAAAATAAGGTATTGTTCATCAATATCAGCTGCTAAATAGAACTGGGAGCAACATTTGAATGAAAGACTGAATTAAAAGAAAGATTTTTAACAATCACACCCACCTCCACCTCCAATCACTTACTTGCACAGAGGGAAAAATCAACACCCAAACATAGAGACAGTCCCAAATGGCCTGGTCAAAAGTAGGGCACTATGTAGGCATAGGGTGCCACTTGGGATGCACCCAGAGTCTCAGAGAACAGACAATCTCCACAGAGTCAAGAAATCAAAGGTTGGGCATAGTCATGGAGTCACCATGAAGTGTAGTCTCTACATTTAAATTATATTATTTCCTGCATTCATTAATGTGGAATACACTCAAAACTATTATACATAAATAATCAAATCAAATCAAATTGTATTTGCCACATGAGCCGAATACAACAGGTGTAGAGATTACCGTGAAATGTTTACTTACAGCCCTTAACCAACAATGCATTTATTTTTTTATAAAAAAGTAAAATAAAACAACAACAAAAAAGTGTTGAGAAACAAAGAGCAGAAGTAAAATAAAATAACAGTAGGGAGGCTATATACAGGGGGGTACCGGTGTAGAGTCAATGTGCGGTGGCACCGGCTAGTTGAGGTAGTTGAGGTAATATGTACATGTGGGTAGAGTTAAAGTGACTATGCATAAATAATTAACAGAGTAGCAGCAGCGTAAAAAGATGGGGTGAAGGTGTGGGGGCAGTGCAAATAGTCCAGGTAGCCATGGTTAGCTGTTCAGGAGTCTTATGGCTTGGGGGTAGAAGCTGTTGAGAAGCCTTTTGGACCTAGACTTGACGCTCCGGTACCGCTTGCCGTGCGGTAGCAGAGAGAACAGTCTATGACTAGGGTGGCTGGAGTCTTTGACAATTTTGAGGGCTTTCCTCTGACACCGCCTGGTATAGAGGTCCTGGATGGCAGGAAGCTTGGCCCCAGTGATGTACTGGTCCGTACGCACTACCCTCTGTAGTGCCTTGCAGTCGGAGGCCGAGCAGTTGCCATACCAGGCGGTGATGCAACCGGTCAGGATGCTCTCGATGGTGCAGCTGTAGAACTTTTTGAGGATCTGAGGACCCATGCCAAATCTTTTCAGTCTCCTGAGGGGGAATAGGCTTTGTTGTGCCCTGTTCACGACTGGTGTGTTTGGACCATGATAGTTCGTTGGTGATGTGGACACCAAGGAACTTGAAGCTCTCAACCTGTTCCACTACAGCCCTGTCGATGAGAATGGGAGGATGCTCAGTCCTATTTTTTCCCCTGTAGTCCACAATCATCTCCTTTGTCTTGGTCACGTTGAGGGAGAGGTTGTTATCCTGGCACCACACGGCCAGGTTTCTGACCTCCTCCCTATAGGCTGTCTCATCGTTGTCGGTGATCAGGCCTACCACTGTTGTGTCGTCTGCAAACTTAATGATGGTGTTGGAGTCGTGCCTGGCCATGCAGTCATGGGTGAACAGGGAGTACAGGTGGGGACTGAGCATGCACCCCTGAGGGGCCCCTGTGTTGAGGATCAGCGTGGCAGATGTGTTGTTACCTACCCTTATTAAGAAAGGTATTATTAACTGTTTACTTATGAAGTCCTCTGGTTCTATTTTTGAACTGCCCGATAACCATGGCCTTTTATCAATTAGATTTGCTTACCTCCTGTGTCCTCTCTCGCCTCCTTTTGAAAAAGGTCAAAGGTAATTGAGGAGAGGCGGCGAGGAGAGGGAAAGTGGACGAAAATGGCTTGTATGAAATGAGACTCTCCTTCTCCAATCGCACGTCATCAGGCAAATTAAGTTTACAGGGTGGAATCCCAAATTAAATGTATAAACTGATAAAAACAATTAAGCTAGTGAAATACCTTTTATAGATAAAAGGATAAGTAGCATATTGTTTTTAAATGTTTGCATACTTTTCTCCTTCGATAAAAAAATAGCTGATTCGAAGGGGGTGTGGCAGATTTCAAAACTCTTCCGTGAAGGACTCAGGTAGAATACACTTGTTCTTCCTCGCCAAAAGGAGGCCATCAATGAGGGGAGGACTGCCTTCTGTTTGCCTATTAATGAATTTACTCACTCCTCGACCACTCATCGGTTTCCGGGTCACGGAGGAGAGAGGATGGAGGATGGTCTTTTGCTTAAATGAGAAAACCGCCATAGCACCCTTCGGTTCTCTTCAGTGTAATATGATGTTGATTGGCCACCACTCTGTCACTAATCAACCAATCGTGTGACTGTGGCTAACCACCTTAGCTGATTGGAAATGCTGTTCCCCAGTCATGCATAGACAGCTAGCAGCAGAGGCGAGCGGTTATGGCTGGACAACAACGTGTTCAGGCGAGACCAATAGTGGTTTCATTAATAAAAGCGTGGTGACTGTCTGAGTGTGTAGGTCGCTGACTCCTCCTCCGCAGCAGCCGTGCTAAGTTTAGCCACGGCTCGGTTAGCATATGCCACTCTCTGACTCAGGAATCAGAGTGTGTGTGTTTATTCTTTCTCTGACTATGACCCGTCAGTGTGTTCAGTATTCTTGAGTTTGACACATCCATATATTCTATTAAAATCTTCATAATATGTTAACAATATAAATATTTATGGCTAAATGCTAAAATATCTAACTGAACCCTAATCCCTAAAATGTGGATTTCTATGTTTAAGAAATTGGTTCCATTGAAATGAATGGTTCTGGAACTAGACACTAGATACTAGACGCAGTCAGGTTCAGTACTTCCGCTTTCCCAGAATATATGTAAATTGAGAATTCAATGGGCTAAGCAAATTAATCAATAGTATGTATTTAGTTGAGTGCTAATCTCTGGTACTGCTCAGATGCAATTTTCAAATGAGCGCACAACCTCTCCACATCTCTTCCCAATATTTTCTCTCCCCTTCTACAGACTTCTCTTACGACTGCTCACTCACCCTCCTTTCCTTATCACTCCTCTTCTCTCTCCATCATCTCCTCTTCTTCTCTCCTCCCTACATATCCTCTCCTCTCTTCCAAATTCAACCATTCCTTCTTTCTTTTCTCCTCTCCTCTACCCTCACTCCATCTCTTCTCCCCCACCCTCCCCTCCTCTCCAACTCTCTGTCGGGCCGTATAACCATGATGGAGTGAGCTGCAGTCCTCAAGATTGTGAAAGAGGGGATGAATAAAGGAGGGGGAGCTATTAATCCTTCATTAAGACTGCTTTTGCAATCAACCACTGTTCATTTCACCCTGCCATTCCGTCCGGGCAGGTGTATGATGATAATAGGCTCACTAGTTTAATACACTAGACATTTGTCTTCTACAGACATGCCTGGGACTAGTAAGAGCTTGGTATGCAGATTCTGAGCTAAACAAATGTATTCTACTGGTATTATTGCTATGGTTAGTTGAGTGCAGCAGAGGGCTTTTTTTGGAACTCCGCTGTATTTACAATACAATATGATTCAGACTACCAATGGGCCAGACTACCAAAATGTTGTCAAGGCTACATGCCAGTATGTACAGGTATGATACCAAAATAGGTGTAACCACCTACAATCAATTAACTGATTAAATTACTCATACAATTAATTAACATATTCAAATATGTATTGCACATTAAAATAAAGGTTTCTATAAATGTATTCACTTCAATCAATATGGCTGAAGAGAAAATATTTTGTAACTGTCATCCAATGTTGGTTAGGTTCATTACCCTAGAACAGTAGTAGAACAGTAAAGTAGTAGTAGTTTCTGTTCCTTTACGGTTTGCAAAAAAGGCAGCCAGCCAATCCCACATTAGGGAGTATGAGGTCATCATAAGAACACCAGGACTACATCAATCTGCCTGTGGGCTTGGAGATGCCCTTGACTCTGGGATTCAGCCATAAAAAAAACTGCTGGCTAGGCTAGATCAGCTGACCGGCAAAATAACATAAATATATATAAATGTGGGGTCTAAATAATCCTTGGTTCATCAAAGATACAACATTGTATGTAGCCTACTACTGTATTTTATGTATCTCAACACTGTCAGTTATCAAGGTTACATACAATAGCCTATTCTGCATAAGCAATTACTATAGATTTAAATGTGTTTTTGCAGTGATTTGATCATTTGCATCTTTGATGAACCAATGAGTATTCAGACCCAAAATAAAAAAATATGGTAACACTTTATAAGGACAATATAATAAGTGGCACTCCCAGTGAATGACACTGTAATAGAGGGCACGATTTAGGGCTTTATGACTTGCAGCAATTGAGCAATTACTCCATGCACACCCTCAGTCAGAATGCAACATTTGCTTGTGGGACTAATACTTGAGAGTTATGTCCCTTACTACCATTATGCAATCGTATTTTGCTCATATTAAATCTTATCGCCAAATCTGGAATTTCACAGTATCTGCGTTTTAAAAATAAATTATCCAAATAAACAGGTGTTTACTGTGAGCTACACTGTTGCTACATGTTACGCACGCAAGATTGATTTGGTTGTCCCGGCGACCACTGGTAATGTGCGTAGCCGGGTAGCCTTTGAAATGTAAGTAGGCCCCAATTCATAAAACACAGAGACGAGGCATTTTAAGACACAAAATGTGAAACATTTGGTTACATTAATATCGTTCTTACAGTATATAATTCATTCCCGTTTTAATTCATGCGTTAACGGAAATGAAAGATTATTGAGATATTTTACCAGTACGCCCGTAAACTTAGCTAACACGTTAATGTTAGCTAGCTAGCTAGGTGGTTAGAGTTAGCCAACTGTCTCTCAATACAGCATAACATGAGTTAGCTAGCTGGGTAGCGAGTTCTAGCAAACATCACACAATCCATCGTTTTAGCTAATTACATTTATTGGTGTTCATGATCGATTCTTATGTTTTTACTTTGTAGCCAAAGACCTGCAGCATTGAGTCAATATGCCTAATCATTTAACTTGAACTGAACAACTAACGTAAGCTAGCTAGCAAGGACAACAATTACCTGAAACCTTGAAGCTAGCTAGCTTTACCCCAAAATGGCTAGCTGGTAGAGGTATTTCTCGCATGAATGAAAATGCAGTTGGTGCCCCCCAAAAAGTAATACACCTATCATTGCACCTGTTAATAATACGCCTATCACCTAAGCATGAGAGTGAAGTTAGACAGTTATTACACACGGTGTACCGTTACCAATTTTATCCACGTTTCCATCAATACAATTGCTAGGCTTAAAGCTATCTAGGGGTTATTTTCCCAATATATAAAAATATTTGCACTATCATCCATGCTGCAACTGCTGCTGCTTTAATAATGGAATTTAATGTACTCGTGCTTGCAGAGTGAGTTAATTAAAATACCTTACAATTTACTAGCTAGCTGTCACTAAATTATCACTGTTATTAGCTAAGTTATGGAAAGTGTTTACTCTAATTGTTTGATGATAGCTGCATGTCTTGATTTGATTTAGCCTACACTCATCCTACAGTGTATTAGCGAGAATTGTGAGACGGGGAAAAGCAACCCTGCAGCACCACCATTTCTAGCATAAAGGCCATTTCATTTGTAGTCAGTGTGCTAGGTACAGTTATCTGCCGACAGTAGCCTAGCTACAAACATTGCATTTTGCATCGTCAAATATATTTGGTTTGTATAGCTAATTAGCACCAACCATTGCTTTGTAATATATATTACGCAATCAATACATTAGTAAAGACAACACAGTATGCATTAATATAATTATGGAAATTGTGGAAAATCCAAATGTTCTCTGCAAATATCATTACTGGATTTTTTTCTTTTCATTTCTGATTATACACTAGCCAGCTAAAGCTAGCTGTATCCTCCCAAGTCCAACCCATCCCCCCTCTTTTCGCCCCTCTCCCCCCTCTTTTTTTCTGTCTCGGTCTACCTTCCGTATCACGTATTAACTCTCAATCGCATTCCTTGCATTTTCAAGATCCCCCCCCCCCCCCCCCCCCAATCTTGCTAATGACAATACTGATAGCCTTGCTATAGCCTACCTGGCGCTTGCAAACAATGTAATCTATAAATATATATATAAACGGAGCGATAGAGGGAGCACGGATTGCATTGCCTCTATTGGCATGGGCATTGTTACAGCAAGCTAAGCATATTTATGCATCCAATATATGAGGGCGCACATGTACGGGTACAAATGCTTACCTTGCCTTGGCCGATCTCTCGTAACTCCATCCCGTACCAGCGCCCAAATCACCGAACCCTGTACCAGGATAATTTCTTTCCATTAAAGAAAGGACTAGGGATGAAGATGGAGAGATAGTGTGGGGGTAGGGGAGGGAGGAGATGTCTTAAATTCTCGCACGCTATCACTCCCTGTGTCCTTTTTTTCCCGCTGTTCAGTGTCTGTTTATTTCTCCCGATTCACTAGCAAGTCCTCAAGACTGAGACCAGCACGGAGGGGGAGAGGAATGGAGGGGAGGAGAAGGAGGAGGGGGATATGGAGGATACAGAGAGGGGAGGAGGGGGTGGATGGGGGGTCACACCAACCACCACCACAAAAATCCGGTTTCTTCCTTCCCTCCCCTCTTCAGCCCGCTATATATTTAAATGTCTATTGTCCTCCTAGGCACAAGCAGCGATTCAGCTCATGCTTGCGCGTAGCCTTAACCTGTCTGTGCACAGCAAAATATTTGGTGCCCATTTATCACTCTAGAATGAAGCACGCTATCTCTTACCATCCCCCGTTGTTGAAGTATTGCATTTCAAAAATATTTGAAATATATATATAAAATGGGGCGATTATATTATAGCAACAGTGTCTATTGTTTATATATTGGCTTGCCAGTTCCCTCTCCAAAATTAATTTACACACACCCCCTACCCAATATTGGTAGCCTAGGCAGCCGATAGTGGGCGCTAGATCTGCACTATTGTCTAGGGTTGATGTTCCCAGACGGTAATACACTCGTATCCCCCGTAGTTGCCTGACGAATCAAACTGAATTATTTGGCTGCTCTATGTTCGCTACATACTTCAGTCTGAGACTGCCAAGGGTGTTGTACAAAACAAAGTAATCAGCGATTGGATAATCTCTAGCCGGCTCAGAAGGCCCGCCTACCCGAACAATCAGATGAGGGTGTGTGATGACCAAATAACTAAATACACAACGTCACTCAAATTCATAACATTGAGAAAGGACAAAAGTTTTGGGGAAAATAGTAAATTCTCTTTTATTTTTTAAATAACTAGTAGCTAACTTTTGTTACTCTCATCTAAAATGAACTAGCTAGCAAGCGTAAGGGATTCCATTCCAAGCACAGAGAAGTTATTCTATTTGATGGAGCAACGTTGTTAGTTTCCCTACAAGCCTTTCATTCAAATAGTAATATATCATATTCTTGACCTTCAACAGATGCACGGCCTTTGGCAGGAAAAAAACTCAATTGGGAGAGTAAAAGCCTCCCAACTTGAAGTTGTGGGCACAAAGACATTTTATGCCACCAGGGGAAAGACAGACACACAAAAGCCAAAGATAAATATGCTGCTGAAATGAACATGAAGGCAGTAAGTTCAAAGACCTATCACTGTAATTTATACCATACACTAGTACCAACCAACAATGGAATGTACCTCAATAAAATGTAAGATGGGGCTTTAAATGGGTGTACTAACTCTGTAGCTCAGTTGGTAGAGCTGGCGCTTGCAACGCCAGGGTTGTGGGTTCGTTTCCCACGGGGGGCCAGTATGAAAATGTATGCACTCACTAACTGTAAAGTCGCTCTGGATAAGAGTGTCTGCTAAATGACTAAAATGTAAAATGTGGTCATTAAAGATCCCATGGCACTTATTGCAAGATTATGTAATGATGAGTAATGTGTATATAAAACTGTATTCCTATCATGTAATACTGTGTTTAAAATTACCATGTATGTAAAGTTTATGAATAATGTATATGGAAGAACATATCTGTACAATTTAAATACAATTAGAAAAGGAAAACAAGGTTACTTTTGTCCTCCAAAGAGGGGGGTGGATGGGCCAATAAAATAAATACAAATAAAGAATATGTACAGTGCCTTTAGAAAGTATTCAATCCCTTTATTATGGCAAGCCTAAATAAGTTCAGGAGTAAAAATGTGCCTAAGAAGTCACATAATAAGTTGCATGGACTCATGCTGGATGCAATAATAGTGTTTAATATGATTTTTGAATGACTACCTCATCTCTGTACCCCACACATACAATTATATGTAAGGTCCCTCAGTCAAGCAGTGAATTTCAAACACAGATTCAACCACAAAGACCAGGGAGGTTTTCCAAAGCCTCGCAAAGGGCACCTGATAGTAGATGGGTAAAAATAATTTTAAAAAACACAACAAAATGTGGAATAAGTCAAGGGGTATTAATACTTTCTGAAGGCACTGTAAGTGGGGTTAGGGTGGTGAGTTTCCCCTTACACTGTAAAGAGCTTTGGGTGTCTAAAAAAGTGCCATGTAAGTCCAATTAATCATTGTTATTACATGTTTTGCCATCTTCCATAACTTGAAGACCATGCCTTTGTACAGAGATGGAAACTGGTACAAAATACAAAAAAGGTGTACTGTTAAGTTAAATAAATGACTATAGTAAGTTCCTAGGTGGCAAATAAAGTAACAGGGTTGAAGTTGGTCTTAAATCAACCGATTTAAAATAAAAACAATTCTGTGAACATTTCTTTGAAACTGTGTACGTTTTACTTGTGGATTACTTGTGGATGTTGAAAAAATAAAATCAAGATGTGTCAATTTGTTTGTCTACATGCCATTTAAAAACAATGCAGATATTGTAGTAAACCTATTTTGGGTTAAGACAAGTAACTGAGTAAGGGCAAACATGATGATAAGCTTTCAAGCTGAGTTTGAAAAAGACATCCGATTAGCACTTTGCATTTAGAACGGTTGGTTTTATTATAGCTAATAAATAAACAAATCATTGATGGATAACTAGATAAAATGGTGCCGCGTTCACGTGCTAGTCGGAAATAGGAAACTCTGAAATTTCCGACTTGCAGATTCGTTGAACGTGGCACGTGTATAACTACAACCAGTTAGCATGTCGGAAATGGCAGTTTCCTAGTTCCGAATACTATTTGAACGCGGCATAAATGCATGTCTCTCGTCTTGCCCATGCAAACCGGTCAGCATACGTGAAATCACACTCCCTCATCTGATTGGTCTTTTCCCACGAACCGTAAACCGCCATACGCGTCATCACACTCCCTCATCTGATTGGTCAAGTAGGCGGACCTTCTGACTTTGGCTGTGGTAACTAGTGACGACTACAATATTCGTACCGCGCATACAAATATATTGTAGTAGTCCTCGCGTTCTTTTGTAAAAACAATTATAAATAGACCAGAGAGAATTGAAGAGAGGTTTCGCGGCCGTACTAGAATCTTGATGTGAGGGTTTCACGTCATTTTCTTCAGAAGACGCCATTTTTGAGAGCTGCTGTTTGGATCGCATGTTAGCACACTCCCTCCCTCTCCCCACTCACTCAATTTCTCTCCCTCTCCAGTGCGCACACTCAAACGCAGTCTGTCTGCTACTCCAACTCTTGCTAAAAGCCAATTTATGCTTGATCCGAAATGTGGTCGGAGGCTTCGTATGGAGGGTGTTACGCAATTGCAGATCCACCAGAGGAATGCAGAGGCCAAATCAAGCTCTGTACCACATCGCCGTGCGTGTATAGCTCCGCAGTGACATGATTGGTTGACGGTAGGTGGGGGCGGGAATTGCAGTATAAACACTAACTCACTTCCATGACAAATTCCTTCACAATAGCTCTGCTCGGCACAGGTATGAAAACCCTGATGTCTGCGGAGGCTGCATCGCAGTAAATGCTATACGGCCACCTCAGATGCAGATTGACCATGTAAAGCCTGTAGTCATATACACAGAGGACATTCTCAGACAGAATATAGTGTAGCACAGGCCAATTCTCAACCAGGGAGAAAAAGGGTACATTTGGGAGCAATGCAAGATACACTTCGGTTGAAAGAGTGCAGATATATGCAGGGATGGGCAGATTACTTAAATGTAATCTGTTACTGATTATAGTTAAGAAAAATAAAGTAATCAGTAACGTAAACCTTTGGATTAGTCAAAATGAGTTACGTAATCCGATGACTTTCACTTCTAACACCCAGGCATATTTTAAGACGTTTTTGAAAACATGCAACTCTATGGAGTCTAGATGACTGTCTGATTGACCAGTGGGCTAGGTGTAATTTTTTAAAATTAAAATGTTTTGATTAAGGAATGTGTATAAATATAGACTTTGGTTCAGAGCGGTCTGTCATGCACCAATACAGATACAAACAACCGAGATAAAACAAACATTAGCCAACATGTTGACCTAAATACAGTACCAGCTGCTAGTTTATACATAATATCTTTCTCACAGGTAACCTCTTAACAAGTTTTCATCCCATTCCCTTAATTTCTCTATCTATAACATCCTTCAGCCTTGCCCCCCTATGAACTCCCCCCAAATAAAAAAAGTCCTAAAAACTAGAACTGGGTCAATTACATCCCAATTTCAATCAGTACAGGGATTGAAACGCTCTCCTATTATATGGACATTTACCATGTCTACTTCAACAACTCACAGGAATTGAAATGGAAATGTTCACAGCTGTGCTCACTTATAACAGTCCAGAACTCCAATTGAAGCTTGTAATACACACCCACACTTACTTTTAAAAATGTCCTTCCCTTTTCACTCAGTGTCCTCAGTATTCGCAGTAATCTCAGTATTGTTAGCTGGGTCAGGAGGTTCTGATGGCGCCCCCCTGTGGAAAAATGAGAGAGAGAGGTTGTGACATGAATGAAAGATGCACAGACACACACACACACACACACAGTGGACAGACATGCATACTACACATAGTACACAAAGGTGGAATACATTCACGCACAGTACACATTCTTAAACTATGGTGGAACATACATACACACCAGTGGAGGCTGCTGAGGGGAGGATGGCTCATAATAATGTCTGGAACGGAGTAAATGGAATGGCATCAAACACATAGAAACCATGTGTTTGATACCATTCCACTAATTCTGCTCCAGCCATTACCATGAGCCCGTCCCCCCCAATTAAGGTGCCACCAACCTCCTGTGATACACACACACACACAGGCCTACCCAGAGTAAGGTGGCGGGGGCGCGTCATGCTGCCCACTGCGGGTCAGGGCTTCGCCGTAGGAGGGCAGTCCTGGGGCGATGATCCCAGCGAGAGGCACTGTCTCTGGAGCAGGCTGGCCATCCACATCCATCCTCACTGGAGCACTGAAACCGATTACATAAAAGTAATACTAGGTTAGGCTACACACAAGTAATGTTGGCCACACACAGACAAGACAAAATATGGGAAGATTCAGGGTCCATTGCTTATTTCTGAAATAGTGTTGCTGCTATATAGGGCTACCCGGGATTACATAGGTCTATTTTATCATATGAAATTTGCTGACAGATAGGGCAACCAGGCAATATATGCCTTAGGTTAGGTAGGCTATACAGTCCTGGTCAAAAGTTTTGAGAATGACACAAGTATTGGTCTTCACAAAGTTCGCTGCTTCAGTATTATGAGATATTTTTGTCAGATGTTACTATGGTATACTGAAGTATAATTACAAGCATTCCATAAGTGTCAAAGGCTTTTATTGACAATTACATTACGTTTATGCAAAGAGTCAATATTTGCAGTGTTGACCCTTCTTTTTCAAGACCTCTGCAATCCGCCTGGGATGCTGTCAATTAACTTCTGGGCCACATCCTGACGAATGGCAGCCCATTCTTGCATAATCAATGCTTGGAGTTTGTCAGAATTTGGGGGGTTTTGTTTGCCCACCCGCCTCTTGAGGATCGACCACAAATTCTCAATGGGATTAAGGTCTGGGGAGTTTCCTGTCCATGGACCCAACATTTTGATGTTTTGTTCCCCGAGCCACTTAGTTATCACTTTTGCCATATGGCAAGGTGCTCCATCATGCTGGAAAAGGCATTGGTCGTCACCAAACTGTTCTTGGATGGTTGGGAGAAGTTTCTCTCGGAGGATGTGTTGGTACCATTCTTTATTCATGGCTGTGTTCTTAGGCAAAATTGTGAGTGAGCCCACTCCCTTGGCTGAGAAGCAAACCCACACATGAATGGTCTCAGGATGCTTTACTGTTGGCATGACACAGGACTGATGGTAGCGCTCACCTTGTCTCAGGACAAGGTGTTTTCCGGATGCCCCAAACAATCGGAAAGGGGATTCATCAGAGAAAATGACTTTACCCCAGTCCTCAGCAGTCCAATCCCTGTACCTTTTGCAGAATATCAGTCTGTCCCTGATGTTTTTCCTGGAGGGAAGTGGCTTCTTTGCTGCCCTTCTTGACACCAGGCCATCCTCCAAAAGTATTCGCCTCACTGTGCGTGCAGATGCACTCACACCTGCCTGCTGCCATTCCTGAGCAAGCTCTGCACTGGTGGTGCCCCGATCCTGCAGCTGAATCAACTTTAGGAGACGGTCCTGGCGCTTGCTGGATTTCTTGGGCGCCCTGACGCCTTCTTCACAACAATTGAACCTCTCCCCTTGAAGTTCTTGATGATCCGATAAATGGTTGATTTAGGTGCAATCTTACTAGCAGCAATATCCTTGCCTGTGAAGGCCTTTTTGTGCAAAGCAATGATGACGGCATGTGTTTCCTTGCAGGTAACCATGGTTAAGAGGAAGAACAATTATTTCAAACACCACCCTCTTTTTAAAGCTTCCAGTCTGTTATTCTAACTCAATCAGCATGACAGAGTGATCTCCAGCCTTGTCCTCGTCAACACTCTCACCTGTGTTAATGAGAGAATCACTGACATGATGTCAGCTGGTCCTTTTGTGGCAGGGCTGAAATACAGTGGACATTTTTTGGGGTTAAGTTCATTTTCATGGCAAAGAGGGACTTTGCAATTAATTGCAATTCATCTGATCTCTCTTCATGACATTCTGGAGTATATGCAAATTGCCATCATAAAAACTGAGGCAGCAGACTTTGTGAAAATTAGTATTTGTGTCATTCTCAAAACTTTTGACCACGACTGTACTGTACATACTTACACTCTAAGATCGACACACTAACATACATAGACACAACACACACACTCAATCTTACCTGCCTGCCGTCCTACCAGCCTTGTTCTTGTAACAGTAGCAGTCCAGCGGCTATGACAGCAGACACTAGAGTAGCCAAGATCCCTGCCACTAGACCCGACACATCCACTCTGGGCACTGTGTCTAAAGAACCAACACAATGAATACATTTGCAATGTACATTATATTAATGCTAGCATTTTACATTTAAGTCATTTAGCAGATGCTCTTATCCAGAGCGACTTACAGTTAGTGAGTGCATACATACTTTTTTTATTTTTCATACTGGCCCCCCGTGGGAATCGAACCCACAACCCTGGCATTGCAAACGCCATGCTCTACCAACTGAGCTACATCCCTGCCGGCCATTCCCTCCCCTACCCTGGACCAATTGTGCGCCGCCCCATGGGTCTCCCGGTCGCGGCCAGCTACGACAGAGCCTGGATAGGAACCAGGATCTCTAGTGGCACAGCTAGCACTGCGTAGCAGTGCCTTAGACCACTGCGCCACTCAGGAGGTAATCATCATCCATAGAGAAACATGAGGACAGTAGTGAGAATGTAAATGTCAACATAGACTTAGTATAGTTTTACTAAAAGCCCCCCCAAAAAGGTCTTACAGTGACTGCTGGTATATGTGTCCCAAAATACATTCTGTGGAAAATATAAATGTAATTCCAAGTAAATTCCTAGTCAATTAATTGAACAAGGTTACAGTATTCTTAATGTGTGTAAATAATACATAATTTCCAACAGACTTTCATGAAAGGTACCACCACATTCACTGCCCCCTTCCCTCAAACACCTCCCTGGCCTCCTCGTAGGTGCACATCTCCTCCATGCACTCCCTCTCAAGGCTATCTGGCGTCACCAGCTCCAGGTCCCAGCTCTTCCAGAGCAGTGAGCGAGACAGGTATGAGGACGCAGACTGTTGTCCCAGGAACACTGGACCCAGAAAGAGAGAGAGAGGATATTCATGTGCATGATATTGAGGTTCATATAATCGCATTGGAGTCAGAGATAGAGACAGAGCCTCTTTCTCATACACACACTAGCAATCACTGATCACAAGTCTGACCTCGACAGACAAAAGAGAAAAGTCAGTGTTGAATGGATAACCTCACAATCAGATAGAAATAGAAACAGTTAAGCAAAATAACAATTGCCTAACACAGTGGTTCCCAAACCTTTTCACTCGGGCCCCCCTTCCATCATTGGGGAACACCCCTACACTGTCCATGACACAAACTGGTCACAACCCTCTTGTTGGAGGAGAGAATTTTGCAGGTTTCAAACATATTTCCTGCAATTCTATAAATGTTGCCATGGGGTGGTGATTTTTTTTTACATTTTAAAGCAACTTTTCTGCAATTCTACACATTTTGCCATGTGGTGGAGAAAACCTTTTGCCGTTTTAAAGCTAATTTCCTGCGATTCTACACATTTTGCCATGTCTTATGTGTTTATGTGATAACTGAGTGTCTCAAACATTACAACAAAATCAATGGGCTAAAAAACATTTCTGACAAGTTATAAATAGCTCTCTAAAGGTCTGCAATGACTGACATGACAAGAGGACTGCTGATTCACTATCCAATCACGAAATTGCACATTGTGCATTCTACTATTACAACTTTCAAGAGTAAGTTGAAAGCCCAACTGAGTTTCTTAATGCCTCACAGTTTGGGAACCACTGGCCTAATATGACCCTACATGAAATAGGGTGAAAGAGGAGGGGGTAAACTTGCCTCCAAAACAGGTTGAACTGAATGCACATTTGGACAGACACATTCTCTCCCTCTCAGTGCTAGTGTGCACACTTGAGTGTTAAGGACAAACAGACGCAGTGGCATGTATTCATGGATGCCAAAGAAAGCAAGGCTTCCCCCCAAAAATTGACAAAATAAATAAATAACATTAAATAATTTATCTTTAGTCTTTCTGTGTTTCATAATTTTCCTTCAATTTGCAAGAAGAGGCTGAATGTATGTCATCGGAGAAAGCATCCGAGACAGTGCTCCTTTATCTCTGTATGTGATGCCCATCTAACTGATGCTGTCTGGTCAGAAAGGGTATGACATTATTGCCGCCCCTAGCATGCAAGGGAAGCCAGTGAACCTTTGGCCTCCCTTGAAAAAAAAAAAAAGTATAAAATAATAGCAAATCAGCGTTGAGCTAAATTGAGTGAGCTCAACAGTGAATGGTCTAAATTGTTTTTGGTATCTTTTAGTTGTCACTGTATTAGACTAAGCATAAGTGATTTGATGATGTTGAAATGGTGCTGGAATAGTGGATGTAGCTCCTGTTTTCTTTGCGACTTGCGGTATCTGTCCGTGGTTCTAAATCAATAGTTGTTTAGTAGTCAAAAAATGTCGGAAACATTAACTTGCTTGACGATGCTGTAGGTCATGTAACTGTTTGTTACATGTAATATGCTTTGTGGACTTCATCAGACAGAGGTTGCTCTCTGGGTTTGTGATGAAACAAAGGAGTGGTTGAATTTATTCTCCCACTGTGTCTTCTTATTGTCTCGGCCTTAGGCCTATATATCACGGTGGCAAGGCATATGAACTAACAGGTTATAGAGCAAACAACACAAGTATCACAACACATAGGTTGTAATATGGCTTTTTTTTCTGGCTTGGCTTCCCCAGTGATTTTACCCACGCACTGCTACTGAACAGATGTATGTTTACCTTCATTGTGGTTGTAGACAACTCTGGCCCAAGCCAGGGGGAGCAGCAACAGCATGCCAATACATATCTCTCTCAAGCAGGAGAGACAACTGCAACAAAATGTATTTATTCATTATCGCTCTAAATAAATATGCCATACTCAACACATTATTCAGTGATTTTTTTTCATGTAAAAAGGGGCACCCACATACACACACACATAAACAAACAGAAAAAGGTGATCCTGAAAATCAGTCATTTTGTTTGACTATGTCGCCCTCTAGAGGCGGAGGTTAAAAAGAAACAAAAGCTACTTTAGAATGTTTCGACATGTAACAAAATTGAATCACATAGGAACAAATACCTACATTGTAACGTATCGTAGGCCTACTTATCGTAGGTAGGCCTACTCTCTTATAAATAATAAGGAAAATAAAGAAATACCATTTAATTTTTCTATCTAATCAAAATGTTTGTTCGGTTGTATTGGGCAAACAATTGCTATCAAGTTTACTTAGCCTAGTAACTGCCATGATAAAACTATAATTTTCTTTAAATTAAAACGTTACACATGTGTTATGTTTACTACTGTAACGACATTCAATACTATGCTATAGCCACAGGGAGGGGGGCTAAGGTGAGGAATGTGTGACCCCTGGGCTCTGTCATTGAAACAGGAGCCTTATCATCCATTCATAGGTATGATGGTAAACGAGATAACCCTTTGGGCAGTGGATTTGGTATTGTGCTGCCCTCGTGTGGCGGTCCCCCAACCCCATGTAGAATATTTTTTAAAGGTATTTTTTTATTGTATATATATATATATATATATTATTATTTTTTGCTTTTATTGAAGCGATACAGTGTTGGAAAGACGGGGAAGATAGGGGAGGGCGAATAAAGGGGAGTGGCTGTAACCACTGGACCACACAAGCTACCATAAATAATATTTATGAGATGAACACCAGATAAGCGCATGTTTGAGTACATTGAATTTTCACAATCCCAATTCAAACAGTCCTTTTTATTAATCTGTACATTTACATGCTTATTTTTTTCTCTCATTGCATTCATCAGGAGTTTTTAAAAATCATATTTGACCTCGGCCAAACTGCTTTCCTGTCACCAAGCGTTCACCAATGCTGTTGAAGAGAAATAGTAAAGTAGAAAAAAAAGTTGGGTGTGTCCAGACAAACTAGCTGCCCTATTCCATTCGGACACATTCTGAGCAAAAACTCCAAGATTTGAGAAATAATGTATAGAAAGTGTAACGTGTACAACAAGTATTTGGTTTATTTCAGTACAAAATACACTTGGCAAATACTGGCAGATTACAGGGTGCAAGATAGATATCGTTTGAGATTCATTGGTATAAGAAGACAAACAGCTTTTTGCTGTTAAAAATAATGACATATAACAGACTTAACTACAATTATTTTTCGTGGCTTATTACACTGTAGTAATAAGAAGCAATCCCCGGAGACGAGGCCATAGCCCAAACTATTTAATACAATTCCACATTGCATTCTGTCTCTGTTGTTCATTCAGTTAAGCCTGTACTCTATTGATCTTTACATAACACCAAGATTATAAATATACTGCATTTGTTCTCATTGTTGGACCCACAATTATTTTGGTCGACAGGAATGATGCCTTGTCTTCAGCTTATCAACAGATCTTCATTAGCTTTGACTCATTCATTTAATACAAATACAGTCAATGCATTATTTTAGAATTTGGTGAAAAACAATGGGGGACAAATGTGGATCCTACATCATCAACCGGGTTCTATATCACAAAGAAAATAAAATAGGCAGCTTTGAGAACCAATCATCAATAACTCAAATTATTTATCAAAACATCTAAAATATTATTAGGGTCAAGGTTTCGAGTCCGATTCAACTCACAAATATGGAGCAGATTCAGAATCTTTCAGAAAGTTAGATGGCTATCCTGCTTTGTTTGAAATATCGCCTAGGGGATAAGTAGGCGAACTGTTAGTCATATGTTAATTACATCGATATGAAGGTTTACAGGACCAGTGCTACATATCCTCTCTAAACAAACAAGTTATTTCATGCCAGACAAATGTAGTTTACGGAAGTTCAATCAGGAATGCTTGTCTGAATGCTCGGTTAACTTCATTAAGTAAGCATAACATAATTTACTTAGCTTCCTATTATGCGGGCATAGTGGGAATGAATACAAACGTATTATCATCAGCATAGCGTCTTCTCGTCTTTCCTATTAGCCACGTGCGGATTGTCATTCCCCCATCTACCTATAAGCACCGCACAATAATGCACATTCCTCATACTTGCTGTTCAACCTATGGGCTCGCTCTTGCAATTATCACCATCATCTCTCTCAACCAATGGGCGTAAATCTTGGGATGTATTTATATGTTAACTTACCCATGTTCTCAAACTTCCTGTTTTACATCAACAGTTGTCGACAACCATCCACCTCCCCACAACCACCAGCTATAATAACCGGCAGGGGGTTTGTTTTCCGATGCCAGCTGCCCAGTAAAGGGCTACCCGTCATCAGCATCTGGCTCTGAGAAGCAATCCCCGGAGACGAGGCCATACCACAAACTATTTAATAAAATTCCACATTGCATTCTGTCTCTGTTGTTCATTCAGTTAAGCCTGTACTCTATTGATCTTTACATAACATCAAGATTATAAATATACTGCATTTGTTCGCATTGTTGGACCCACAATTATTTTGGTCGACAGGAATGATGCCTTGTCTTCAGCTTATCAACAGATCTTCATTAGCTTTGACTCATTCATTTAATACAATTCAAAAACGAACTCCTTGATGCACATGGTTGGTACAGGTGTGACATTAAAACAGTTGCAAACAGCATTACAATAAAAATGACTTAAAAAGCAGGCCTACACCTGTATGCATAGACAAAAGTACCTGGACACGCCTAAACATCCACCCCGTCATTTTAAAATAAACAATAGCACTTTAGTGTCAAACTACTTTTGCCTACCAGTCCATAAGATGAAGTTGTGCAAAAAATATGATATATTCTGTGGTCATGGACACTACACTGAAAAAGTACCAGTGTTTCAAATACATAGGGCGGCAGGTAGCTTAGTGGTTAAGAGCGTTGTGCCAGTAACCGAAAGGTCGCTGGTTCTAATCCCCGAGCCGACTAGGTGAAAAACCTGTCGATGTGCCCTTGAGCAAGGCACTTAACCCTAATTGCTCCTGTAAGTCGCTCTGGATAAGAGCGTCTGCTAAATGACCAATTTTTTATTTTTTTATTTATCCTTTCACTCTCATTCTGCTTCTTCTTTATCTCACTCTTTTCCATTCTGTCTTTCAAAAATGGAATTCATCTATTCCATTGAACTGGGCTCCCTTCCTTTTCTGTTGTAGGTATGAATGGCAGCGCCCTCTAGTTTCTAAATGATCCGTTCCTTTCAGCAATGTCAAACCAGTGACTTCCATCAGGTTGACCCAACGTAGGAAGCTAACCAAAACACAGTATCTGTGAGATCTCCCTCCTTACCATCCCTCTTCTTTCTCTCTTTAGTCTGTGGACTCATCTCTCGCTCTCTTCTCATCTAGCGCAACGCATCTCCCTATACATCCTAGCTCAATAATGAAATAACAAAACCGCAAATACAAAAAAAGTATATAAAAAAAAGTTTGAAGATGCTAATTTCTAAGTGTGAATGAAACCATAAAAAAAAAGTACACTCCACCACTTTGCCCACCATTGACGTAAGCAACCTCTCCCACACACACACATCCCTGCCCCATTCCCCAAACCTCACCATACATTTTTTTGCATTTCCAAGTATATATCTCTTCCCTCCCTTGCCCAATCTTCCCATTTCCCTCCAGGTAAGTCAGACAAGACTTGCATCAGTGGTGAGGTGAGGGGGTTTTGGTCTCTGTGACAACAGTGCTATGCCAGTGGAGGGAGCAGTTAAAGGAGGGTGCAGGGGCAGCCACCGCTCTTCCGTTTTCCTGTGTGGTTTGCAGGTAGAGGGGGACTCTCAGTCTCCTGAAACTTTCTGTGTTTTTTTAAAAAGAGAATGAAAGAGAGAGAGACAGAGAGGGAGTGGGAGAGAGTGAGGGAAAAAGCATTGGATACTTCGACTCAGCAGTAGGCTGTAATGGACACCACAATGTCTGTCCCTCAATAATAATAATAATAATAATAATGCCATTTAGCAGACGCTTTTATCCAAAGCGACTTACAGTCATGTGTGCATACATTTTTACGTATGGGTGGTCCCGGGGATCGAACCCACTACCCTGGCGTTACAAGCGCCATGCTCTCAACTCTGCCTCTGGTCACCAACTCTTCTAATCATCTAGCTATAAACATGATGACTTATTATAAATTACCTTACAGCTTTCTGCAATATAATTATATATTTAAAACAGCCTACCTTGCAGCTAGCTGTTAATGTTATGACGTTACCTTATAGCTCGCACCACCTCCAGGAAGGCTTCGTCTACGTTGTAGCGGTTCTTAGCAGAGGCCTCCATGTAATGGATCCTGTTCTCTCTGGCAAAGCCCTGGGCCTCCTCTCTGGAGATCTACAGACAGGACAGAGAGAGGTACATACACTCAGGTTAAAAGCACCCGCCAGGCCAGCAGCGGTTTCATTTCCTTATTCCGGTAAACTGAGTAAGAATAAGAAGGTGGTATTAGATCTAGCCAAAAAAACACTTGTAGCCACTCGCCACCTGTTGGCAACTCAAACGTCTTTTCGAGGCCTGAGATTTTGAACCAGTAGGATCTAAATTGGCATTATTATAGCTAGCAGAATATCTCCTTTAACATGACAATGAGAGTGACAGTGAAGGCCAGTACCACTCTCGACTGGTCCAGGTCAGCCTTGTTGCCCACCAGCACCATGGGGAAGTCATCCCGGTCCTTCACTCTCAGTATCTGGGTGTGGAACTTGTGGATCTCATTGTAACTGAAAAAAGGAAAGGAAAGTGGCCGAAATGAGAACACATTAGGAACTGATCATAAGTCCTTTATGTCCTTAAAAAGGTGCAATCCATTAGTTACATTTACTGTTAAAAAAGCAGCTTTGTGGAGGATTGTCAGGAGAGGCTCTTTGCGAGTGTATATGCCCCCTAAAGCAAAGAAGAGTCATATTCATTGGCATAAATCCAACTACTTTTTTGTTGTTTCTTGTTTTATTGAATACTCTTATTTAAAATGTACAAAGACAACAACAGCACAGTGACAACCAACATTCAAACTTGACAACAAACAATAGAAGTGGGAGGGGTAGCCTGGGTCCTACCAGGACACAAAGGACACCCATCGAGCCCTGCCAAAGCAAGCCAGGCATCCTGTGTGACCTGGCAGGAGTCAAGTCTGCGGGGGAGGTACAGATCATAAATAAATACGGACAATTGTTATACTAGGCTATGCTCTATGGTTTACATATGTTCTTAGAATGTTGTGTTTATACTTAGACTCGTCGCCGCATGGGGACAGGACTTCTGCAGTGCACCTTTAAGATGCATTACACAGCGCATAAGAGGGCAAAGGTTTGTTGCAATTCATAGGAGCTTCACAACCAATCTAAACTAACATCACACTGTTTAGGTGCACTTGCACCCATCCACCTTTCAAGTCATAGAGAACTACTACAGCAGCTCTTTATGCTGCCTGTATTTGACACCATGTCATGAATGCGACTCTTATGAGAGGTGAACGCCTATAACAAGTCTCACTTCCCCTAGTTACTGTAGCATCACTCTGTGATTAGGGTTGCATAGCCTCAATCAGAAAACACTGTATAGACTAAGTGTAATACTGACCATGGCTTGAACGCCTCAACACTTGACCATGAGTGTACTGCGCTTGCGTCGCAAATAGCTGCTGAAACTTCATTTGACCAGTCCTGATTATCGGTCTATAGCAGGGATCATCAACTAGATTCAGCTGCGGGCCAATTTTTTATTGAGCGGATGGTCGGGGGGGCCGGAACATAATAATCAATAAAAAAAGTTAGACTGCAAATTGACCACAAGAAGCCTAAACAGATATAATGTTATACTAAAATAATCATTTCAAACCTTGATTACATTTGGGAACATTGCCCTGCGCAGGGTGCCGTCTTTCGGATGGGACGTTAAACGGGTGTCCTGACTCTGCGGTTATTCAAAATCCCATGCCGCTTATTGTAAGAGTAGTGGTGTTCACCCCTGTGTCCTGGCAAAATGTTCTACCTGGCCACATTCCATCATGTCCACCTAATCATCCCCCTCATTCCTAATTGGCAGATATCACTCCTCACCTCTCCACCTGATGTGTAGAGAGTTCTGGCACAAAAATGGTTGCCGTGCATCACTGAGGTGGTTGAGGTGAGTTTCCCCCTACTATATAAAGCGCATTGAGTACCTCAGTTGGTAGAAAAGTGCTTTATAAATCCAATCAATTATTATTTATTATTTGTTTACGGTCACGTCTCTCTATTATGCGTTGGAATACTTGGGAACAGATTTCCTAAATTAAATACACTTGGAGCTGATTTCATGGTATTTTTAGTCTTATGTCCAACAATGAAAATGCAAATGTATTTATTTAATTTTTGCTCAGAAAACTTGGGGGGGGGGGGGGGGGCAAATAAAACCACCCACAGGCCAAATTCGGGACGCCAGTTGGGGAACCCTGGTCTATAGGTTACTTTGCATAATTTTGTTACATTAAATTGCAGCATGTGTATTCATTAGTCGTCAAACATTTTATTTATCACACATGCACAGCATACAGAGAGCCTAGTTTAAGGAGTGGAATAGCCTACCAGACAGCACAAGAGTAGCTCCTCAAAAAGCCTGCAGGCTACTGGAGTGAAACCTGCTTTTGTAAGCCCAGTCATTGCGCAACAAATAACAATTCTAAATGCAACTGCGTGTTAAAAAGGAGCTATTTTATTTCTCAATCTCAACTCGTAAAGCACGTCTCCCATTCGCCATAAGCTCTTAATGAAAAATGTCTGGTCCTTGTATGCATGCATAGTATCAGAGAGGAAGAGGCGAAGCGCCAAAATCTGTCAAATACTGTCCAATGCGTTTCTTTGGGCTTATTTTGGGCCTAGGCTTGTCACCTGCCCTCCCGCCTTGGGACGACTCCCATTGTTAGAGCAAAAACATAAGCGTCTCAACATTATATACAGATCTCTGATAGTATTTTCTGTTGGTCACGTAAATTGACTGTTTGGAATTTTTTTTACAGTTCGTTGACCGTTTAATGAGGGTCAGTTAGTCGGCAACAAAATTCACCGAAATGTGCATCCCTAATCACAAAACAGTGAAGTTGCCTTCCTGAAACCTTGAGTACTGTAGCCCTGACAAATGCTTTAGCTCTGAGGACTTCAGAGTATGTTGTGTAGTTGGGAACACTGGTTTGAATCTACAGTTTGCCTGTGACTCGAGTTCGACTGTGTACATGCATCCACCCAAACAGAGAGACAGACACACACACGATTCTTACCTGCCAGTGTCATTCAGAGCAAACACCAGCAAGAAGCCTTCTCCTGAGCGCATGTACTGCTCCCTCATTGCCCCAAACTCCTCTTGACCTGCTGTGTCCAAGACTGACACACACACACACACACACACACAGATTCAGATGTACGTCCACAGAGATAAATATATGGATACAGTGACATACAGTGCATTCGGAAAGTATTCAGACCCCTTGACTTTTTCCACATTTTGTTACATTACAGCCTTATTCAAAAATGTATTTAATTGTTTTTGCCCCCTCATCAATCTACACACAATACCCCATAATGACAAAGCAAAAACAGGTTTTTCGTTGTCCTGTTGGAAGGTGAACCTTCGCCCCAGTCTGAGGTCCTGAGCGCTCTGGAGCAGGTTTTCATCTAGGATCTCTCTGTACTTTGCTCCGTTCATCTTTCCCTCGATCCTGACTATTCTCCCAGTCCCTGCCGCTGAAAAACATCCTCACAGCATGATGCTGCCACAACCATGCTTCACCGTAGGGATGGTGCCAGGTTTCCTCCAGACGTGACGTTTGGTATTCAGGCCAAAGCGTTCATTCTTAGTTTCATCAGATCAGAGAATCTGGTTTCTCATGGTCTGAGAGTCCTTTAGGTGCCTTTTGGCAAACTCCAAGCGGGCTGTCATGTGCCTTTTACTGAGGAGTGGCTTCCGTCTGGCCACTCTACAATAAAGGCCTGATTGGTGGAGTGCTGCAGAGATGGTTGTCCTTCTGGAAGGGTCTCCCATCTCCACAGAGGAACTCTGGAGCTCTGTCAGAGTGACCATTGGGGTTCTTGGTCACCTCCCTGACCAAGGCCCTTCTCCCCCGATTGCTCAGTTTGGCCTGGCAGCCAGCTCTAGGAAGAGTCTTGGTGGTTCCAAACTTCTTCCATTTAAGAATGATGGAGGCCACTGTGTTCTTGGGGACCTTCAATGCTGCAGACATTTTTTGGTACCATTCACCAGATCTCTGCCTCGACACAGTCCCGTCTCGGAGTTCTACGTACAATTCCTTCGACCTCATGGCTTGATTTTTGCTCTGACATGCACTGTCAACTGTGGGACCTTATATAGACAGGTGTGTGCCTTACCAAATCATGCCCAATCAATTGAATTTAACACAGGTGGACTCCAATCAAGTTGAAGAAACCTCAAGGATGATCAATGGAAACAGGATGCACCTGAGCTCAATTTCGAGTTTCATAGCAAAGGGTCTGAATACTTATGTAAATAAGGCATTTCTGTTTTTTATTTTTAATACATTTGAAAAAAATCTCTAAAACCAGTTTTTGCTTTGTCACGTTTTCCAAAAACTGTTAAATATCTGCTCCAAATTAAGATTAAAAGATGTCTGCAGAAAGAATGGGGTGTCAGTTATGACATGACACCTTGAGTTTAAAATAAAGTATTTTGGTTATTGAACTACAGTAGGTGAAGTGGATTTACATCCCTGATCTGTACTATACAGAAATGCATAATTATGGATATGAATATCATTCGCTTCATGGTGATGTATCCTGAACCATCCAGAGGTGTGGGGGCCAATGGGAGTCAGAAGGGCAGGGCAACTCCAGGAATCCCGCCGACATCACAGGATTCCCCTAACACACCCCTTATTACCAGCACAGGTGAAGGGAAGGGGGCAATTACGCACAAGAAAAAGAGGAGGGGGGGGGGAGAGAAAGGAACGGACAAAGAAATAAGGAGAAATATAGAACGAAGAGAGGATAAAAATGACAGAAGAGGACATTGAGAGACAAAGAACGGCTTAAAAGAGGAAGATTGCGTGAGTGATTCCCGTAGCCGCGAGCCAAAGCCAGGTTTGGCCACAAAATAGACTATTTAATTAGGTGATTATCAAAAGGATCTTTGGTTTGTAAGTGAAGTGCTCTGAACCGGGCATGGATTTTGTTTCCCCTTTCTTGAACCGGCCGAGTTTCATTTGGTGAACATTAAATATATCATTTAGATTTTTGCAACTTAAAAAAGCCCACTCTTCCTCTGTTTACGCCACCCCTCGCTACCGTACACAGTACACAAAAGGTAGAAATATGCAATATCCTTATTTTGCATATTTGGGTATTATCGTACACACTGGCTATTATTCTAATGAGCTCTGCCCCCAAACAAGACCAGATTTGGTTGGTCCGGACCAGACCAAATCTGAACCAATCATAGACGTCTATGTTTCTCAAGTTTGGACATTACAGTACAGCACAGTAGAGTACAGTTCAGAACAGTAGATATGTTATGTACAGTATAATATACTGTACTCTAGTGTGCTCTGCTGTACTACATTTTCTTTACTGTACTGTCCAAACTTGTGAAACATAGACGTCTATGATTGGTTCAGATTTGGTCCGGCCAGGGCGAACTGACCAAATTTCTATTACTTTTTAACATCCAAGGAGGTCCGGTGTCGGTTGGTGCTCAGTGGTTGAGGATGCTTGTTACAGTAAATGGAAAGAGGGTAGTAGGTGTCAGTAAGAGTTGGGTGAGGTGACATTAACTGGAGAGAGAAAGAAGAGAAAGAGAGAGAGGGGTTGTCCAGACTGCTTTGACCACCAGACGAAAGAAAGAGAAAGAAAACAGTTATGAGCTGAACATAACAGTATGCCAGTGGAAGGGAGGACAGTAGCAGGTGACCCAACTGTGGACCCAAATGTCCCATGTGGCTCAGTTGGTAGAGCATGGCGCTTGCAACGCCAGGGTTGTGGGTTTGATTCCCACGGGAGACCAGTATGGAGAAAAAGTACAAAAATGTATCCACTCACTACTGTAAGTCGCTCTGGATAAGAGCATCTGCTAAATGACACAATTGTAAAAATCTAAATGTTTTGTGACTACTGACTTCCCATTTTAGCCAATTCAATCGCAGTAATTCCTTTACTGATTGTTCAGTAATTCCATTACAGATTTGATAACAGAATGCCACGTTTTAATCACTTAATAATTCATAAACAAACTTGATATCAGTACGAACCCTATAACTAATTAGTAGGTCTACCTTTGCTTGTTACTTCTGTGAACTTTCATTAGAAAATATCTTAAAGATATGTGGGTTATTACAAGACAAGGCAATGTTTCTTAAACTTACAGAAGGCAAATCATTTCTCTAGAACTAAATATAAGTGTTGATATTAGTTGGCAGGGGTCTTTACTTCAACATTATTGTGTTTTGATGTATTTATAATACCTTTAAAAAATTGTCTAAGACAATTTTCTGTTCGAACAGAAATCAAAGCCTTTGATTGTTCCTCATTTTTAGGATGGAAAATGGTTGAAAATGTATTTATGTCTTTATTTTTTATATAGACTTAGCTTTCATTTGACATGCTCCTATGAACTTCATGTTGGTCCTCATGGGTCCTTTTAGATGTAAATGCCCAGGGTTAACAGACTCGACAAAGGCCAACAGGCCATAGTAAGTACACTTACATATTGTTATATCCCTTGAATATGAACACAGATGGACAGAAACAATTTTGTTACGGCATAGTGAAAAGACTACACCTTGGCTTAGAGTATCAACATCTGCCAACTGCAAGTCCCAACAGAGCAGATGTGGGTGAATCATACAGACTGGCTCAAGTAGTTTACGCTTTCCCTCTATGTTTGGAGCAAAGAATGTCAGTAAACCTACAGTATGACTTACTGTCTAATCGTGTCTCTTTCCCATCCACTGTGCATATTTTGGTGTAGGAGTCTTCAATGGTGGGGTCATAATCCGATACAAAGTATGACTGCGAAAGAGATGGGAGAGCATGGGTGAAGACTGTGTTTGTTGTCTGGTAAAAGTGGTGATTATTGCTTTGGTGGTTATGAGGAAAGCGATGTTTTTAACCAAATAGCCTACACTATTTAGCCTATATGGGTTAACATGCACATATTCAATTACCACTATAACATACTCGTCATATCAGAAGATGTGACAAATTCAAGACAAACAACACACAGTTGACAATGATCAAACAGTTGGGGGATTCTCTCACCTGAATGAATTGTATTGTCAAGGCGCTTTTCCCCACACCGCCCCCGCCCACGACGACCAGTTTGAATCTCTCCTCCTCAGCAGACATGATTAGTTCGGTAAAATACTTTCAACGGTTGTTGAAAAACGAAATGATAAAACTGATTAGCTGATAGGATCTATTGATGAAGTGCAATTTAGTAATCCGCAGGGTAGATGAGTGGAAAAAATGAAAGTCCACTTCTCCAACGATTGAGCAAACTACTTTTATCAAGGTAGCTCAAAGAAAAATCCCTAGAAGGTAGCGGAGTTGGGTTTTTACCTCGGTATGACGCCAATATATTTAACTTGAATTACCTACGATAGGTTATCAATATCTCAAATATAAAAATGTATAGTTAGTTTTATGATAATATTTCATAACATTGAAAAGCTTACGGTTTTAGTCTGGCCCAGTGTTGTAAACTATCCACAAAAGTAGGCTCTAACACCAATAGAGTTTCGTATCACTGCTCCTAAAATTCATAGGTCGCTACATAACCTGGTAAAATAGAAATAAAGTATTATTGTTAAAATCTAACGGTTTATCGGCCTATCTCTCATAATTGTTGTCGGGTGAAAATCCTTCCGCACCCGCCTTAAGTAAATTAGGCTATCGATGACAACTTTGTGACTCCAGAAAAAAAAACAAATGAACTTGATTATCAACTACACCGTCAAACTTCAACGCGCTTGTCTAACTTTAATTATCACTAGATTGATCCATCTACATATCTCTGCAGACGCATTATATAATAACTTTTGTGATGTCTACTGGGTTTTTCTTGGCGATGTCTTCATTTTTTCCTGGTCTTCATTAACTTATTTTTTCATCGCTCCAAGGCAACTTTTTTTTTCTCAACCAAGAAGGGTTTCTCGAAATCTCATGCGTATGTAAAAATGGGCGTGTTTTAACGACACTGTTTCCTCATTGTATAAATTCTCACGCTTCAACCTTTCAATGGTATGTATGCGTCCCTATCTCCCTCTTGTCATGAATCAGCAAAGGCTCTTTTAGAATGAGATGCATTCTACAATGTTTCTTTAATCAACACTGCACGTTTATTCATGAAGCTGAAACAATATGGTTTAACCAGATTTTAAATGAGTGAACTATATATAGTATTCACACATTATGTGTACTACATTACGTGTACTACCTTATTTGGCTATTGAGCCCAGTTGTATTTAGGTCTAGTCATTCATTTGTTTAATGGGGAATTTTACTGCAGGGTGTACATATAGCTAGAGCAGCGGAGTAGACCTATACAGCTGCTTTTGCAACGTATTGGGGGGTGAATTGATCCTTGGCACATGGAATGTTTTATAACCCCTTTATTATTATTTTTGTTTCGCGTTTAGTACTTTAGCCTATGCATTTGAGAGTATTGTATGATTACCCTCAAACGACTTTAGCCTACCTGTTGAGAATATGAGGAGATATTGGAGGGAAAACTCCTAGCATAAAGTACTTTATACTAATAGTTCTTGCCAGGTAAAGCATTCTTGTCTTCCTTTCCCTCCCTGATTTGCCCATCCCCTCAACCGGATGTGACTCATTTACATGCGCATGTTGCTCATTTTTACCACACCCACATTCACCCTCAACCCCTCCATATTAACCCAAACAATTAGTTGATTTTCAAGGGCAGACTGTCGTCTAAAAGTGAAAATAATCAAAACTTTATTTTCAAGACTGCATTCTTGTAATATTTTATGAAATAAGTTAATAACCATATCAGTTTGAATTGTGAATCAGATTTTTTCCTCATAGGCCTAAATGATTGTACATTTATGGTGAAATACATGGGAGATGAGTAGAAGAGCCAGGAGAGAACAGGAGTAAAATATGTCATCTTTAATTAACACTGTGATCCCATTAGAAACAACAGTGCCAAAATACCATCCTCAAAATATTAATTGTATAAATAACAACAATAAACTGATCACTTGATTCATGTCAATCAATAAATAAAAATAAACATAATCAAGCCATAAACTTAATCTATGTGCATTGTGTTGGAGGCATAAACTGCTCCTATATGTAATATATATAGTGCTTTTGAAGGAAGTTAACAATAAATTGGCATTTATAGGACAAACATTCACTCAGAGCTCCGTGAACATGGTATGGGCAGACAAATATTATACATGCAGTTCAGTTCTCTGTTCTTTAGTTCCTCACACGCACACAAATCAATCTCCTGGCATTTATCAGTCCTCTCTCTGTCCTCGCCAGTGGTCTCTTACTGCATCAGCACCTATAGGGCAGAACAGCCTGTCCCACTTTGATCCGGGGGCCGAGCAGCACCCCCAGCAGCATCTTCTCACCCCAGCCCAGCAGCTTGTTGACAGTCAGGTTGAGAGGAGACAGGTGGCCCTGTTCAGCATCCACTCCTTCCTCAGCCTCCACTGCAGATGCAGACAGCGTAGCTGCTGGTGACACCTGCTGGTCAACTACGATACTGTGCTGGTTCAAAACAGAACTGCTGCTCAGGCTCCCTGTTAGTGTCTCCCTCTCTGCTCTTCCCTTGCTGTGGTCCTTCCCTGTCTTTGGAGTTAAGTTAGGCCTCCCCTTCTCCACACTCTGGCCGGGCTCTCTTTTACCCTGGCTTCTTCCCTCTTTCTCTCCCTTCGCCTGGGTTCGGGAGGAGCAGCGATTGGGCCAACCGCAGGATGTGCTCCTCTCTCTCTGTTGTACATCTGTCTGTGAGGAGGAAAGGGCCACCGTCGAAGGTCGACCGTGCCTTTTTGAACCACTGGTGCCTTCTACCCCCATCTTGTGGTTGGTGTTGGAAGCGCTGGAGCGCATTGGCTTGTGGCTAATGCTGTTGCTGCTTTCTGGCTGATTCTGGTGGGGAGTAGGGGGAATTGCACCAACGGGAGACAGGGAGAGGGTGAGGCTCTTGCGCTTCTCAGAGAGAGACACAATGCCTGTTGGGATTTGTAGTGTACTGGGCTTTGGTGTTGGTGTCGCTGGTTCGTTGGGGCTTGGAGTCATTGCTCCACACAGGCTCTGGGCCTCCCTCTGGTTCTGGTTCTGGTTCTGGTTCAGGTTGAGAGTGAGCGTTCTGAGTCTGCTGGAGAGAGACAGCGTCAGTTGTGACGATACGCTCCTCTGATCTTGCTGTGGCTTCTCTGATAGACTCTGAGTTTCTATGTTCTCTATGTTACAAGTGGAATTCTCATTGTACATATTATGCACTTTAGCAACCTCTAAAAAGTCCTTAGCAACATAGCCATTGTCCTGAATATTCATGATCTGATTGGCTGACAGGGGGACAGAGGAACCGCGGCTAATGTTTTCATTGCTTGACTGCAGGCATGTGTCCAGTGATCTGATTGGCTGGATAGTGGGGTTGCCATTAGAGGCCTTCTGAGCAAGGGTTCCCTGGAAGTGTTGTAGCTGACCCAGAAAATTGAAGTTTGGGGAGATTGAAGGCCTGCGCTCTTTCACAAACCTGAAAGTGAGGAACAGACAAGATTAGATGTGGATGCTTTATATGCGCACAAACCAATCATTAAAATGCATGAATACATACACACACACACACACACAGCACCGTCAAACACACCTGTAGGCATGGTCAAGGTCCATCCCCAGGTTGTACATAATGTAGGCCACAGCCAGGGCAGGGGAGCGAGAGATTCCTGCAGCACAATGAACTAACACAGATCCACCTGATGACATAGCCCCATCTGAGAGAGAGAGAAGAGATAGATAAGTCAATTGTTTATTTGAAATCATCCATACTGTATCGCATGACATCACATCAGCCAGACTGCAAACTGTGCAAAGGACACACAGCTTATATCAACTGTCATGAATGGGCTTCCTGCAACAGTAGGCTTGTATCAATTTCCGTGGTACTGAATGGGCTGTAACAGCATTCAATATTTCTGAAACCATAGGAGCATAACTGGCATGAAACCCTGATCAATAACTGCTCATCACTTGAACTGAGTCATCTGTGTTTCTTCCAGACAGACAGTCACCAGTGTGTAATGTATCCATGATGATGCAGACTATAGCATAATGATGACATGCAGAAGTGTTCTACTACCTAACCTGCAGGATTTGCCTTGGTCAAATCTCCAATGACATATTCCCCTTATAGTGCACTAGCTCTCTGTCTTGTCGAAAATAGTGCAGTTGCACTATATGGGGAATAGAGTGCCATCCATTTGACACATAACTAACACAATCTCATCATTATTCTCACCGATAAAACGCAGTGCCTCCGGGATATGGGGCAGCAGGTCGTCAAGGAGAGAGTCGTCAATGGGGATGCGATGGTACTGGGAACGGGAAAGGAAAGTAGGCTGCGGGCTGCAGCGGCTCACGCTTAGCACGTAGGAGATCCCGCGGGCGCCGAGGCAATCCTGCAGCCGAGCAGGAGAGCACGGAGAAACGAGAGACCGAGAACAGGCAATATTAATACATTCTGGTCTTCTGGAAGAGGTGCATTTCCGGTGCATTGTGAAAATACAATGCTTTGGCCAATGACGAGAGCTAGGCTATCAATTCTAGAGACTGACCTACTGAATGAAAACATTATTACCTGGGTAACGTCAGTCTCTGCACCTAGGTAAAGATGCGGTAGGATGAGAGACAGCGGTGGCCGCTCGCGTGTCCCGTTCTCTCTCTCCCCGTAGAACACCATCTCTGTCCTTTGTGTCTGGTACCGAAACATGAGAGAAAACTGTGTTCATTTCAATATGAAGGGATTACAATTATGTATTAGGCTACAATACATAGGAATCGAAGAAAATACTGCAACTTTGCCAATCATTTTAACAGTTGCGTAAAATATATTAGCAGTATTATTGGCATGAATGTTAATTAAGAAAACATTACTTCGGTCTATTGCTGCTGCAGAATGATGTTCTCTTTACATTACGTCATGGATTTTGCAAGTTCACATACATTAGATGATCATAAGATAATATAAGACCAGACATAAATGATGCAAGCAAAATGCAATAAATATTACATTGTACTTACAGTGACGATTTTCCAAACGAAGATACTGGAAATATCGCAGAAATCAACTTGCACACCATATAACTCGATATAATCAACCGAATGGTCTCAAAGCAAATTGATGAAGAATCCAAAAGGATATGTTATGCTTAATTAATCATCAGTAGAGTATAGACCTCTCTCCCTCTCTCTCTCTCTCTCTCTTTCTCTCTCTCTCTCTCGACTTCCACTCCCTTCCTCGTCCTCGTCCAGTCTGCGACTGTAACATTATTTGTTGTTGTACGTCTATACCTGCGCGAGGGGAAAAGGATGAGGTAATGCTGTTTCTACAAACTAAGAATAGTACAATTGTATGTGATGTCATTTTCAACCAATCAGCGCCCCTGCCGACGCTGACGCGCGCGCGCACGCGCTCCATTTGTTCGTCATCATCAATTCGCCTGAAGACCTTTGCCTTTTATTGTGATGAATCGTACCTTTTCTGACGCTATTGTTGCAGAGGCGTTTTAAAAAAACATGCAGCTGCAATTCCCGTGGCGAAAAGCATTTATTTGTGCAAAACCATATCATCTCTTCTCTTGACACTATACGTTATCTAAAACATTCCTTTACAAAAAAATATTTTAGTTTAGAAACTGCAGTAAAAGTGCAGTAACTGCAGTCGATTGTGGTATTTTGGACACATTCACTGCACAATAACTGCAGTGTACTGCAGTTGAACTGCAGCTATACTGTACTGTAACTGCAGTTACACTGCAAAACTAGTGCAGTAAAAAAAAAATTGGGATGCAGTATTTGCAGCACCCTGCAGTTATACTGCACTCTAACTGCAATCTTTTTTTGTAAGGGTTGTCTTCATTGGTCTATATTTATATATAACATCTACAGAAAATACAGAAATGCGAATGGTGTTGTGGCCTATATACAGAGACGCATTCCTGTAAAGCTCAGAGAGGAGCTCATGTTAAATACTGTTGAAGTAATATGGCTACAGGTTCACCTGCCTCACCACCACCAAGTGCTAACAGTCAGTATCTGGATAAAACACTATATATACAAAAGTATGTGGACACCCCTTCAAATTAGTGGATTTGGCTATTTCAGCCACACCCGTTATTGACAGGTGTATAAAATCGAGCACACCACCATGCAATCTCCATAAACAAACATTGGCAGTGGAATGGCCTTACTGAAGAGCTCAGTGACTTTTAACGTGGCACCGTCATAGGATGCCACCTTCCGAACAAGTCAGTTCATCAAATTTCTACACTGCTAGAGCTGCCCCGGTCCACTGTAAGTGCTGTTATTGTGAAGTGGAAACGTCTAGTAGCAACAACGTCTCAGCCGTGAAGTGGTAGGCCACACAAGCTCAAGCTCACAGAACGGGCGGATGCCAGGAGAACGCTACCTGCCCGAATGCATAGTGTCAACTGTAAAGCTAGGTGGAGGAGGAATAATGGTCTGGGGCTGTTTTTCATGGTTTGGGCTAGGCCCCTTAGTTCCAGTGAAGGAAAATCTTAACGTTACAGCATGCAATGAAATTCTACACGATTCTGTGCTTCCAACTTTGTGGCAACAGTTTGGGGAAGGCCCTTTCCTGTTTCAGCATGACAATGCCCCCGTGCAAAAAAAGCGAGGTCCATACAGAAATTGTTTGTCGAGATCGGTGTGGAAGAACTTGACTGGCCTGCACAGAGCCCTGACCTCAACCCCATCAAACATCTTTTGGATGAATTGGAACGCCAACTGCGAACCAGGCCTAATCGCCCAACATCAGTGCCCGACCTCACTAATGCTCTTGTGGCTGAATGGAAGTAAGTCCCCACGGCAATGTTCCAACATCTAGTGGAAAGCCTTCCCAGAAGAGTGGAGGCTGTTATAGCAGCAAAGGGGGGGGGTGGCAACTCCATATTAATGCCCATGATTTTGGAATGAGATTATTGACAATACATGTAGTGTATGTGTGAAATGCTTGAAAATGTATGTGATATCAACAGAGAGGTATATTTTCTGGGTGACCTTAATATTGACTGGCTTTCATCAAGTTGCCCACTCAAGAAAAAGCTTCAAACTTTAACCAGTGCTTGCAACCTGGTTCAGGTTATCAGTCAACCTACCAGGGTATTTACTAACAGCACAGGAACGAAATCATCAACATGTATTGATCACCTCTTTACAAATGCTGCAGAAATCTGCTTTAGAGCTGTATTCAAATCCATTGGATGTAGTGATCAAAATATAGTAGCCATATCTAGGAAAACCAAAGTTCCAAAGGCTGGGCCTAATATAGTGTATAAGAGGTCCGACAATAAGTTTCGTAGTGATTGCTATGTTGATGATGTAAATAATATTTGCTTGTCTGTGGTGTGTAATGAGGAGCAAGCGGATGCTGCACTTGACACATACAGTGCCTTCGGAAAGTATTCAGACCCCTTGACTTTTTCCACATTTTGTTAGGTTACAGCCTTATTCTAAAAATGTATTACATCTATTTTTTCCCCTCATCAATCTACACACAATACCCCATAACGACCAAGCAAAAACAGGTTTTTAGAAATGTTAAATGTTAAAATGGAAATATCACATTTATGTGAGTATTAAGACCCTTTACTCAATACTTTGTTAAAGCACCTTTGGCAGCGATTACAGCCTCAAATCTTCTTGGGTATGATGCTACAAGTTTGGCACACCTGTATTTGGGAGTTTCTCCCATTCTTCTCTGCAGATCCTCTCAAGCTCTGTCAGGTTGGATGCTGAGCGTTGCTGCACAGCTATCTCTCCACAGATGTTCGATCGATTGCAAGTCCATGCTCTGGATGGGCCACTCAAGGACATTCAGAGACTTGTCCCAAAGCCACTCCTGCGTTGTCTTGGCTGTGTGCTTAGGGTCATTGTCCTGTTAGAAGGTGAACCTTCGCCTCAGTCTGAGGTCTTGAGCGCTCTGGAGCAGGTTTTCATCAAGGATATCTCTGTACTTTGCTCTGTTCATCTTTCACTCAATCCTGACTAGTCTCAGTCCCTGCCGCTGAAAAACATCCCCACAATGCTTCACCGTAGGGATGGTGCCAAGTTTCCTCCAGAGTGACGCTTGCCATTCAGGCCAAAGAGTTCAATCTTGGTTTCATCAGACCAGAAAATCTTGTTTCTTGTGGTCTGAGAGTCTTTAGGTACCTTTGGCAAACTCCAAGCGGGTTGTCATGTGCCTTTTACTGAGGAGTGGCTTCCATCTGGTCACTCTACCATAAAGGTCTGATTGGTGGAGTGCTGCAGAGATGGTTGTCCATCTGGAAGGTTCTCCCATCTCCACAGAGGAACTAGAGCTCTGTCAGAGTGACCATCAGGTTCTTGGTCACCCCCCTGACAAAGGCCCTTCTCCCCCAATTGCTCAGTTTGGCCGGGCGGCCAGCTCTAGGAAGAGTCTTGGTGGTTCCACACTTCTTCCATTTAAGAATGATGGAGGCCACTGTGTTCTTGGGGACCTTCAATGCTGCTGAAATGTTTTGGTACCCTTCCCCAGATCTGTGCCTCGACACAATCCTATCTTGGAGCTGTACGGACAATTCCTTCAACCTCATGGCTTGGTTTTTACTCTAACATGCACTGTCAACTGTGGGACCTTGTATAGACAGGTGTGTGCGTTTCCAAATCATGTCCAATCAATTGAATTTACCACACGTGGACTCCAATCAAGTTGTAGAAACATCTCAAGGAGGATCAATGGAAACAGAATGCACCTGAGCTCAATTTCGAGTCTCATAGCAAAGGGTCTGAATACTTATGTAAATAAGGTATTTCTGTTTTTTATTCTTTAATACATTTCCCCAAAAAATTAAAATCTTTTTTCACTTTGTCATTATGGGGTATTGTGTGTAGATTGCTGAGGATTTTTATTTATTTAATCCATTTTAGAATAAGGCTATAATGTAACAAAATGTGGAGAAAGTCAAAAGGTGTGTCAGAATATTTTCCGAAGGCACTGTAAATGAAATTGCTTATTCCAGTTACTAATTAGCATGCACCCATTCAGAAAATGACTGAAAACTGCTAAATCCCCGTGGATTAATGAGGAATTGAAAAATGGTATGGTTGAGAGGGATGAGGCAAAAGGAATGGCAAATAAGTCTGGCTGCACGACCGATTGGCAAATGTACAGTCGTGGTCAAAAGTTTTGAGAATGACACAAATATTAATTTTCACAAAGCCTGCTGCCTCAGTTTTTATGATGGCAATTTGCATATACTCCAGAATATTATAAAGAGTGATCAGATGAATTGCAATTAATTGCAAAGTCCCTCTTTACCATGAAAATGAACTTAATCCCCAAAAAACATTTCCACTGCATTTCAGCCCTGCCACAAAAGGACCAGCTGACATCATGTCAGTGATTCTCTCTTTAACACAGGTGAGAGTGTTGACGAGGACAAGGCTGGAGATCACTCTGTCATGCTGATTGAGTTAGAATAACAGACTGGAAGCTTTAAAAGGAGGGTGGTGCTTGAAATCATTGTTCTTCCTCTGTTAACCCTGGTTACCTGCAAGGAAACACGTGCCGTCATCATTGCTTTGCACAAAAAGGCCTTCACAGGCAAGGATATTGCTGTTAGTAAGATTGCACCTAAATCAACCATTTATCGGATCATCAAGACCTTCAAGGAGAGAGGTTCAATTGTTGTGAAGAAGGCTTCAGGGCGCCCAAGAAAGTCCAGCAACGCCAGGACCGTCTCCTAAAGATGATTCAGCTGCGGGATCGGGGCACCAACAGTGCAGAGCTTGCTCAGGAATGGCAGCAGGCAGGTGTGAGTGCATCTGCACGCACAGTGAGGCGAATACTTTTGGAGGATGGCCTGGTGTCAAGAAGGGCAGCGAGGAAGCCACTTCTCTCCAGGAAAAACATCAGGGACAGACTGATATTCTGCAAAAGGTACAGGGATTGGACTGCTGAGGACTGGGGTAAAGTCATTTTCTCTGATGAGCCCACTCCCCGGAAAAGACAAGGTGAGCGCTACCATCAGTCCTGTGTCATGCCAATAGTAAAGCATCCTGAGACCATTCATGTGTGGGGTTGCTTCTCAGCCAAGGGAGTGGGCTCACTCACAATTTTGCCTAAGAACACAGCCATGAATAAAGAATGGTACCAACACATCCTCCGAGAGCAACTTCTCCCAACCATCCAAGA